AAGAAGTACTAGGAATGGATGGTGATGTTGCACAATATGAACGTCCTAATGTCGCTAAACCATACACTTAAAAATGACAAGTTTTATGTATATTTCACAAGAGAAAAAACAAGAAACAGGAAGAGTGGGTCCCACACGGCCTGCACGTCGCCCTGAGTGTGCCCTGTGCCCCCAGCGTCTCTGCGAAGATCGCACCGAGCCAAGTGCAAACCGACATCGGCCATCCCATCTCGACACGCGCTGTGCTGACGCGGCTGCGGAAACAAAGTATTTCTCTTCCATCTGGAATCTTTTCAGGCTCAGCACGAACTGGAAACTGCCGCGCTGGGCCTGGGTGTTTGTTCTCTGTCGCGGGGCAGGGAGGCGCGGTGGCACCAAGGCTGGGCCAGCACCACCCCGTGAACTCTGGACAGCACCACCAACACGTACGAGCACGTGGCGCTCAACCAAATTCCTCAGGATTAAAACCTACGTACTTTTTTCTCCCTCGGTTTAGAGGAGGGAGAGGGAGAGAAAAGGAAGGGATTAATTTAAACTCTTACAGAGGAAAACTAATTTTTTTTTCTCATTCTAAGAAATTTATACCCACCGTCTCGCTCCTACGGCCAAGTCGTTCCTACCAGTGCTTAGTTCACTAAGGTTACAAAAAGGTTGGGTCGAAGCTTGAAATAATAAAATTCCTTCTTAACCAACAATTTGGAACTGGGTCCTAAGAACCTGGAAGCTGAACATTCTGTCCACTTGGTTTCAGAATAACCAAATTCTCTTAAGGAATGTGTCAAACCTATCATAAATAACCCAGGACCTGGAACGCATCAGTCAATGTGGCAGAATTTCAGAAAACCACAGTGGCATTATTTAAATCTTGAAAAGAAAAAGACAATCGTTCCTATATTAAGGCCATAAGCAGATGTGAAGCGGAACTTGGTGAACAAAATTCCGCATTTTCACATGACTGTGGAATGAAAACAGTTTAAAGATCATTTCTGCTACAACTATTTAAGTTATCACCCACCTGAACTGAATCATTGAGGAAAGAAAAAGATCAAAGGACACAAAGTGAACAGACCATAACTTTATTGGAGATTTACTCGGCTACAATTATTACATTAAAAAAAAAAAAAAAAAACACAACAACTAAAGGTAACTGTGACCCATGAGGCGCAGACGCAAGCTTCTGCAGCACGATTACGGTGTGAATGAAAGACATCGTGTTCCCTGCACACAGCTGCAGCACGTGATGGCAAACATCGTATTGTCAATCAAATTGTGTTAGTTTTACTTGATTTTAGTCATTTTCCTTCACTCTATTTACAGCAGAAAAGCCAGAAATGTTATTTCTTGTTCACCTTTGCATTTTTGCAATGCAACCTGCTCCTGAGGTGAATTCTGAACGCATCTATAAAATTTAAATCATCTGTGGTTGATGTCCAAATAAAAATGGACGAGAAAGAAAAAGCAATTAATGATTAAAATATATTTACAAGTTAGTTTTGCAAGATCGTTTCACTGCTAGTGGAAAATACAATAGTCTCAAAGCAAATTCCCTAGATACGGCTACTGGCATCTCCGACGACTTTTAAAATAATCTTAATGTTCTTGGTCTTCAACATATCTTAAAAGCTTTTCATGTACAATATAAAGAAATTTATTTGGAAGTAATTAAATTCCTGAAAAGTAAGCAGTGGTTGAAAAAATATACCTATTTAAATGTAATTAAAATAACCACATAGAGAATAAACGTGACATGAGTTTCTCTTCTGCAGATAACACAAACTGGTTAATTTCAGATGCAGTTTAAATAAAAATATCAAGGTCTCAGTTTGGTGGCTAAAATTTTGTGTAAAAAAATTAGACACCCAACAGAGCAAGATAGAAAGTTTTAAATCAGCTGGGCCTTAGGACTGCACTGTGGTAGGTCTGAATTTTGATTATTCTCTGCCCTCTGCAGTCACCATGTGGCTTCAGGTAACGACTAAAAGAGCTGACTGCTGGGTGAATAATTGTACTTATGAACTGAACCAACAGAACCGAAGCAGCCTCAAGTCTCGTGCTATTTAGGCGGGGTAATCTGAATCTTTCTGAGAGCAAGCTATTATTAAGAAAATAAAAATATTAGTATTTGAAAAGATCATTACAGGAGTGTTAGAGGTCATTCTAAATTTAATCACATAACGTAAAAGAAAAAAGAGAAAAAGAAAAAAACGTAACAAACATTTTTTCAAACATAATTAAGAGTTCAGTTAACAAATCTCTGTCATACTTTCACAAACAGTAAAAATGCCACAGACAAAAATGACCTATTTAAGTTGTGCAAGTATATGACACATTGCAGGCATTATAATTATCTTTTTCAAATTCGGTAAATCAAAACAGCAGCGAGGCCAAACCACATTTTTTCCTCTCAGTTAAGCATATTTTCCTTGAAATGAGGTAAAGCATGGTACCAAGTGCAATGCTTATCTGTGCTACATGAACAGAAGAGGGGGGGAAAGCTATTACAAAACGCAGCATAGTTAGGACTGCTGAACGTGTATCACAAAAGCTAAAACATTTACAATGAAGGTTCGAGCCAACGAACCTCCACACAATCATCACAAGGAGTTTCTGTAGTTGCTTTCAAGACACGCCTCGCCAGTCCTTTACACGTGTGCTCACAGCACGGCGACGCCTCCCACTAGTAGGTTTCCGTGTTACATTCGGTCTCACGTGGCAATCACAGGAACAAGAGGAGGACACACACATGGTTGGAAAGAGGGGGCAACAGAGTGATTTTTTTTCTTAATTAATGGATGCGAAACATGTCAAGCTAAACTGGGGAAAACTTTACAGCATAAAAAATCAGCAGCACAAAAGCGTTCATAACCATTTCATATGTCTAACTCATAGTTTTTATTTTTTTAATGCAGTAACCAGGGGATCATAGAATGCTTCAAAGTGTGAGTCGCAAATTAAAATCAGCTATTTTTCTCCAGCAAAAAAAAAAAAAAAAGAAAGAAAGAAAGAAATACAAAATAGCTAAAGTTTGCTGTTGATAAAATATTTTGAATGGTAGCAGGAAATTTGAACCCCTGAGAATGTATGACCTAATCACATCCAAGTCTGAACTTTTTAGTATTAACAAAAAATACTCTTCTTAAGGTTACAAAATATATTGAGGCATTTTCTCCCAACGGGAATTGTAACTGCGGAACAATCTGGTTTTGGTGCCAGGAAGCGAGAGAACCCCTTAACACTGGGATTAGTGCATTAGATACAACGCAAAGCCCTAAGCTCCTGGCATCAGGTAGTTTAAAAATTATCAAGAGACTTGTGATATAACTTCATCACAAATCACCCTCCCTCACAAGTAAAATTTACATGCTTGTCTTTCTTGTTAATTGTACATGTTTACAGTTATATATAATTCAAGAACTGCTTGCTTTTAACTTGCCAGATCTCGCATTGAGGTTTTTTCAAAAAACAAACAGAAATCTAAGGTTCCAAACCAGAATTCAATATTTTAAAAACGAGCCCACTCAAATTAATTTACTCAAAAACTCATTTAACAATTTAGATCTCAATGTTAAGTTTGAGGTTGGAGACAACAAGTAACGTTGGAGAAGCTTAACACCCCCGTCACTCCGGTCTCCTTAGGAAGTGACGTTGACGGTGTTCTGGGTGACACGTGCAGAGGTGCGTCCCTGGGCGTGAGTGCTGCAGATAAAGCAAGACGCACAGTATTCGACTGCAATTCGAACGCAAGTGCAGCATCGCACGAAGCGTCAGTTCAGAATGACGTGCTGGGAAACGTTAGACACCTCTGCTCAGCTTTCTTAAACTTCAAGCATAATTAATGGGGCGAATTGCAGCAAACCTCTACTGGTGTGTTGGTGGGAGTGCAAGACTGGCCCACGGCTTTTATAAAGGTAAATGAAGAGGTATCGTAGGTACAGTGCAAAAAAAAAATTAAAATTTCAAGCATAATACATAAACATAGCACCAAACGGGGGAAAAAACGCATGCAAAAGAAAAGAAGAACTGAGGTATTTAAGTGAAGAGTGCCTACAGGTCTAATTAAAGAAACTCAGGCAAACGCCTAAAAATGTCTTTTTTTTTTTTTCTTTTCCAAAGATAGAAATCATGAGCTAGTTTATCTAAATTAATGAGCTAAATCACTGATGTATCAAAATTACGGCAGTTTATCGCAAACGTTAAACTTTCATGGCATTAACAGCACTGCTTTGGTAGGTGAAATGTGCATGCAAAATTGTGAAAAGTACAGTAAGAAATTTATGTGAGAAGACTAACAGTAAAGGTGCTGGGTTCTGCTTCTTTAAATAAGTAACCGATCAATTACAAAATCTGCAGCATATTTTAGGTGTGATATGTCTAAAGTTTATTTTGTGAGAGAAACAGCCTACAGGGCAAAATTATTTGCCACAAACAATTGCCATCAGTGGAACGACCTAGCAGGAGGTTTTTAATAAAATTGTGTACTTAGTCAAAGATCCTTTTAATGGTGGTGTTTTTAAAAATCCATAGACTACATATTCTGGGTTTTAAAATGTCTTTAGTACACACAGGACAGAAACTGTCATATCCTGTAATAAGTTAAGTTACAACTATGCTAGTGAGTTGTAAATATCACGCTATCTCAACGTCTAATGCGTAATAAAATGAAGGGAATGTAAAGTAGTTTGTTCCAAAAAGATCAGAAATTAAAGACTATCCATGAGGGTGTTACTTTTAAGGCAAGAACCTTTTTTATGCAAGACTATGTGGCATGAGAACACTAAAATCCGATTCGCCAACATGCCAGCCAATGCTCATTCGACACCTGTCCCTCGCTGTCAAGTGCAGTAGCAACTGGGCAACAGCGTCTCACACAACCTAACGTGGAGAAGAGACGACGCTGGCACACTCCCCTCGCGACCCGCGCCCTCCCCCATGCTCCCCGGCTTATGGACCGGGCGAGACGCACACACTGAGGGGTGGTACGGGACCCTAGCCCTAGGGACTGTCTGAGGTTTCAGCTCCGTGGCTCCCTAACACTAAGCGAAGGTGACAAATTAAGCAAACAAACAAACAACTGTCGATAATTACGCTGAGTGCTCGCTAAATGCCATCGTTAAAGCACTCTTGTGATTTAAACAAAGCAGGAAGTGAGGAAAGAAGACAAGATTGTGTTTGCGCAAAAAACTAAAACTACCATTAGTTCCAAAATTTTTATACATATGTTAAATGCAATCTATCTTGTTATCACACAAACTTTAAATTCTGCCTTCAATTCATTCTGTTCAATATCAACTTTAAATCATCCTTTTCAATTTAAATATTTTCCACCTTAATTCTGCTTTTTTTAATTTTAAAAAGGGGCTTCAGCTGTTGGGAACCTGAGGTTGATTAGCTTTGAGGCTTCGTAGGGCTCTTCTGGCTGCTGCAGACTTGGCGATCCTGTAACTTCGGCCGACACCTTTGAATTTCCCCTTTCCCACCACTTCCACGGTGACCCTGACCTTGCCATCGTAAGTTCTCTCGGCCGGGCTGTAAAGAGGCCAAAGAGCATGAATTAGAAGTCAGAGCGTTCATGACCACTGGCACTGGCACCGAGTGTGCCCCCTCAGGCCAAGGGCCCCGCGAACGAGCTGACAGCTCACAGAGGGCGGGCCGCTGTGCCTTGTCACACATCACCGGCAGCGGGCTGCCGTCTCCTCTGTAATTCAGCATCGCTTTACAAAAACAAAAAGAGAAGTCAACCAGACTACGAGTGGAAACTGCATAAGAGTGTGCCCCAGTGTAAACATTTTCCAGAATCATTGGTTTATGGCATTTTTGAGAACTTTCCCCCCTTGTTTTTAAGTAATTAAAAGTTAAATTTTTTCCACGCACATTTTTGCTTACCTAAATTTGGCAGTTTCTGGTTCCATTTCAAGCAATTCTCGCACAGGGGAACGGGGCACATTCGCAGAAAATTTTTCTATAATCAAAATGAAAGAATAATGTGAATAATATCCTTGCAGTTGTTTTTAATTTTGACTTTGCTTCTTTCGGAGGGGAGCCAACAGTACCTATTAGCGGCCGCATCATAGGATAGTACACCTGCCAAACCATCTCCAGTGACATCCCACTATCCATGTAAATGGCACCAGCAAGTGACTCAAAAATATCCCCCATGGCCTTTGGAACTTCAATATCCTCTTCCTTCTCTTCATCCTCCTCAGATCTCCTAAGCTATCAGAGAGAAAAGTGACTTGTAAGCAAAAGGCCATTTTGAAAGGCAGTCCACAGGGGGTGTTTCTTTTCTTGGATATGACTTTTATTATATCTTTAACAAAGGTAACAATACCGACGCTTTATGACACGCCTACTACGTGGTAACAGGTTCTTCACAAACATTATCTAAAAATAAAGTGTTTTCAAACTTAAAAAAAAAAACAAAGGAAAAAAATCTCCTCCTATTTAATATCTATACCCAGCGAAGGAAAGATTTCTAAATAAAAACAAACACAACTTTAAGACGAAATTAGAAATAGTCAATAAATGTATTTTAAAAACTTTTCAAATTCACTTGTAATCAAAGAAGCGCATGTTAAACAGTCTACTGCCCAGCACTGGCGAGGGTCGGACACACTACTGACGAGCACGGCGCTGCAGAGGACGGAGCTGCTTCCGGGAGCGTGAACTGCCACTTTTTTGGCAGGGAAATTCTATTTGGAAGATATTTTCCTCCAAGGTCCCTTTTAATTAAACTATTTAATACATGTTAGTTATAATAGAGTACCTGACACATATCACGTATTCAAATTAAGAGTAATAACTTACATATGTATCAAAAACCTTTAAAAGATCCTAATTCTTTGATGCAGCAATTCCATCTCTAGAAATTTATTTTATTTTAAGGAAGTAACTGGATTTATGAGCATATCCATCACATCCATGTTTATTAAAAGCCCCAAATAAAAACGATGTAAATATCCAGCCGCAAAGGACAATCTAAAGTACATTACTTTATAGCAGTACGTTGACTATCGTGCAGCTACTTAAACATAATGCAGTCAATACAGGGAACGCAATCCACAACATATTAAGTGAAAAGAAGCGGTTGTAGTAGATTCTGCATAACGTCATTCCCTTTTACATGTTTATATATGTGGGCGTCTCCACACTTTCGTAACAATACATCCCAAAATATTCACTTTGGTTATTGCTGAGGTAGTATATTGGTGTCACTTTAATTTTCTTTTGCTTATCTGTATTTTCTATAATAAACACAAATTACTTGTGACGGAGAAATAAAAAGGTGAGACAGTAATTTCTAAACAGATTGTTCAGTCACACAAAGTTCTATGGAACTCATTTACAATGCCAACTAGTGAAAAAATAAGATAGTTATTGTTCATATATCATGGTTTTAGGCAGAAAGGAATTTTAAAACTTACGGAGTATAATTCGCTCCTTTTACAGATGAGGAAAGTGAGGCCCAAAAAGGTGGAAATATTTTCTTAAGATCGAACAGTAAATTAGAAAAGCCAGACCATGACATTTTCAGTTTTTTGTAACTTCTATACGTGTTTTTTATAAACAAAGGGAAGAGGAATGAACAAAAATAAGACCAGTAGGTCTCACTGTTATCAAAAGAGAATTTAAATCTAATTTTAGTGAATTTCTCAAATTTTAAGCTTAAATATTTCTACAGAATGAGACTGGAAATAACACTGAACACGACAGTTCTAACGCCTGGTCACACTGCCAGCTGTGCTCAGCTCAAATGACAAGCCCGGGAGAGCGTCCACGGTCAAGGACACGGGCTGTGAGCTTTCCTTCCGCACGTATTCGATGTGGTTTACGTGCTGGCTGTCCTTCAAAACTGAGACTCTTAATTTCCCTCACAGAAAGTCAAGGGAATGCACGAAATCCCCAACAACGGTTTGGTACAACTGAAAAAAGGGAAGGTACAAATTCAAGAACCAAAGTTGGAATAAATTCCTTAACTCCCTAAAAGAAACCTACAAAAATAAGGAAACAAAGGAATCGGAATGGGAAGAATGAGGACGAGTGCCCCCCACCCCGGGAACTCGGGGATGTGGACAGACGTGGGCGAAGGGCCGGGATGTGGGAAAGGTCTAAGCAGCATCCCTTCCGACAAAACCGCAAAATCGGTCACAAACGCATGTGCTCCGGCACCAGAGAACCTTTTGGCGGAACTTACTAGAAGGCTCGCAAATTCCAATGGGTAAAAATTCTGAAATCTGGTTTTTTAAATGAGATTTCCTCATTTCACGTAGAAGCAGGTGTATCTGTGCTGCTTACCTGAGCCATGAGCAAATGTCCCCGATCCACTGCGAGCGGAAAGGTGGACACGACAAAGCCCGCGGAGCTGTCCTAGGGCCCGGCTACTGTCACGTGGGGGCCAAGGGTGGCGCCTGGCAGGGCTGGCCCGGGGTCGGGAGCCTGGATCCGACGGGAGGGTGAACACCTGACCGCTGGGCTCCTTCTCCTCCCGCGCATGGCCACACATGCCACATGGGGGCGGTCAAGTTTAAAAGGCTTGCCCAGAGCCTGCAGCTCAGCCCCGGCCCTCCCAGGGGCCGTGCAGCTGCTGGGCACCGCAGCCTTGACCTCCAGCCCTGACCCTCGCTGTCCCTCTAGACAGCTGTGCAGCCTGAAGTCTGCAGCTGCCGATGACCGAGCCGGGTGGCTTACTGCAAACACTCACGTTAACGTGCTTTTCAGCAGCACTAACCTCGGAATCCATCCCTTGCATTTCGTTCTTCTCAAGCTGAAACTGCACGAAGTCATCGATGACGTGGAAGAGCTCAGGGGACACCGCTTTGAAGTACTTGTGGTAGTCGTACTTCACCGCCAGCGACGCGAAGATGGTGTTGTTGACCAGAGCAGACCGCAGGTCCGTCAGGACCCCTGGGGAGTGCTGCCGCGGGTCTTCGTAAAGGTGCTTGGTTATGAGGTAGTCCAAAATCGCATCCCCCAGGAATTCTAAGCGCTGGTAGCAATCTGGGAGGGCGGGGGAGAAGCGCAGCCATGAGTCAGGCAGGAACTGGACGCGGCTCCCGCACAGTCGCCAATGCAGAGGTCAGACCCCCAGAGCCGCTAAGTGACTTTTACTTGGGTTCTCGATGACAAAATTATCGGACATATTTGACTATCTGATATTACGGAAGCCTCTGGCAATTAAATTTGAATGTCAAATTAAGCACGTTGCTTACATATAACTGGGGTCCTAAAATATCTAAGTGGCCCAAAGACTCGTGCTTGTTAAGGAAACACCTTTCCCAGGTGATACTATTATCAGCGAACCCTGCTCCTCTGGCGCCGTGCTGGCTGGGCAGGTGCCGGGTCATCACGCTAGAGTCTCTGTCACACCCTGCGCACGCGCCTTCCACACACTCTCCGCTTCGCTGCCTTCAGTGCACACGGCCGCACCCACACCGGGATGTGTGAGTGATGCCATGCCTCACCGCTCCCGGCTGTGTGTTTCACAGATGACACTTAGTACAAGAAGACCCTCTTCTCAACCTGGACTAGAAATACTGAATTCGACACACACCAAGAGACCGAGAAAGAAGGTTGCAGGAGTGAGCGGAGACCTTAGGCAAAAGCGGTCAGCTGTCAAAATGTGAGAAGTTATCAGCACTGACCAGCACCTCGACCTTCTCAGTGAAGAAACAGAGTGCACTCGAGTGAGGAACCCGAGGCAGGGGTGGTGACTCGGCCCCAGTGAGTGGAGAGGCAGGCGCTGGGCTGCTGGAACCCGGCTCTCGCCGCTGCAGAGTGCGGAAGAAAACCCTGCCTTGTCGCTTCTCCACCCAGAAAAAGAGGTTCTGCTTGCACCAGCGTCTTCCTAGCCAGCGTTAGATCATTTTTCACTTTTTGGCTTTACATTTTTCAGACCATCTTAACCTACATTGTTTTTCTTAAATAAACTTTATGCTTTGCTTTGGTATTCGGGACTCGAGTACTTGCTATTCTGATACAGAAAAATATGTAGACTTTAGACGGTTCACAGGCTGAAGCTGATTTTCATTTTCAGGCCAGTGTTCTTCCTTCTAATCTAATGGCTCGGGAGCCTGTGACATAAAGGAGGGGGACAAACAGAGCACGATGCAAAGCGGAAGGTGACAGTCAGAGCGAGGGCAGCGGAACCTTCTGTGAAACAGTTTCTTATAATCTGTTCACCTTTAGATATAAAAAGGCCTGAAGAGAGGGGTCTTTTTGTTCAGGAAGAACAATAAAAAGATGTGGAAATACATCCGGAACATACAGATAAATCAAGAACCAAAGGCGGCAGCAGTGAACAGGCATCGGAAAGACAGTGGGGCAGGACAGAACAGGAAAAGCGCAACAAAATACTAAGGCTCGAATTTCTCTAATTACGCAGCACGTGAAATGACACATAGCGAGTATATAAGATGGCTATCCCCCCTCCCAACCATCGAGGTTAGGGGCAGTGCATGCTCCCAAATAAAGGCTTCTTTCATTTTCCTTCTGCTTCCTCCCCCGCCATGCATACCAAGCACTGAGTCTGTACATGCACAGATCATTTTTTTTACAAGGCCCAAATAATGCGATTAACACATGGTCGCATTCTCAGAGAAACGAAGCTGGCTGTGGGGCTCCTTACCAGTAATAGTATTGTAGTGGTAGGAGGCATGTGTAAAAGCCTGCAGAAGGTAAGCCTTATTCTTGAATCTGTAGTTGATTTTCTTTTCGAAATTTTCGAAACCCGATATCAGGTGATTCAGCGTTTTATCTGCATCTGGATGGTCAAACATACATCGTGGTGGAATCTTCAAACAACCGTATTCCAAGTCTTTAAACACGGGGGAGCGGGGGCTGGCTGCACAGGCGGCAGCGCGGCCCCCTGAAAGGCTCTTTTGTTGGCTGCCGAAACTCTCCCGTGTCGGGCATGTGGCCGTTTCCCGGTCAGTCCTTTTAACGACCGGGAGCACCTTCAGCCCCAGCGAGCAGAGGAAAAGCTGAGCGGCCCTCTCGCCACAGCTGGTTAAGTAGCAGCCCAGCAGGGCCTCCACGCAGTCCGCGATGCTCTTGTCGGCGATGCACTGCTCCGTGTGCAGGTCGTAGGAAATGGACTGCTTCCCCGCGTCCACGCCGCAGCTCTCCTCTGACGGATTCCAGAACCCCACCACAAAGTCGTCCTCCTCCACGGCCTTGCTGGGGTCCAGATAGCACATCGCATCCCAGGAGCTATAGTCAAAATCCTCAAAATCTGCCGAGAACGGCATGCTACCTAAGGAGGACTTTTTGGGCATTTTCCATTCATATGCAGAATCGGTGGTTGAAAAAGGAGAGAGAGAAATTTTCTTTACGAAGGCTCCCGACCCCATCAGCATGTTGTCTATGAACTTGATGTGCTCCTGGTCGTACTCCAGGAAGTCGTCCTCGTACTCGGTGTCCTCCTTCGGGGCCCTCCACGTCAGGCCCTCCTCCTCCTCCTCCTCCAAGTCGTCGTCCAGTCTGCCATTAGCCAGCATGCAGTCTTTTGTCTGCAGCGAGGGGAACGGGGAAGAAGGGGAGACATAGCTGCTGTTTTTAAAAGGGTTTGAGACTCAATAAAAGCAAGGGTTATGGATAATTTCAAATGACAACCACAAATACTAAAAGGCAACTTTAAAATCATGGCCATTTGTTTTCAATTAACATAAAATAAGTTATTTAATCACATAAACAAAGTAAAACATGTTCTTTGAATGTTCGTTTTCTAAGTTATAAAATGACCTTTTATCCAGTACGAAGCTTTAAGTTAAGGATTTTACACGTGGATAGAAAGTTAATGTCCACACGGCAAGAAACTTAGCTGAGAGCTCTACCTGGCAGGACACACAATGAAAGCACTCATGCACAGGCCCCTTCGAGTTCACTGACAAAGTCTTAAAATGTCTTAAAAAGGTTTTCAAATTAATAAAATTAAATTCCAGATGTAGAAAAAGCATTATCTTTGCAATTAAGAGTATAAGAAGAAAAGAGGTAAAATTATTTTTTTAAATCTTTATAACATTAAAAACGTGCAAAAGTTTCATAAGGTTTTTGTCCCTATTTCTACTTCAAATCAAAGTACATTTGCCATGATGTAAAACTAAACTGCTTTGCTTGAAAACTAAAAGTGGTCACTGAACTAAGCTTAGTTCAAGTTATGAATTTGAGAAATTATGCTTTTCCCCTCCACTGAGCTACGGTAATCAGGGTAACAGATTATAGCATAACTGACAAAAATAGAAGAAAATTTAGACTTACATGAAACACAACAATCCAATTTCTGTCAGAAGATCCTTGCTAATTCCAATTTCTTTGGCAAAAGCTTATTTGTGAATGACAACCTTAATAATAGGCCAAGATTCAGGAATGATCTAACTTTTCTGCAATGCTAGCAAGATGCCAAATTTCTGTTGCGCAATAAATTTTTTTTAAAAATGCAAAAAACAAGACTTTATTTTTGGGAAAAGGCAGGAGCATGTGCTTTAATTATGATAGCTGATAACTTTCCAGAGCATTCTGACAAAAAAAAGTTTTCAAACTTTATCGAGCACTTTTCAAATACTGCAAATATTTTCATTTTAAGCCACACTCAAAAGAGATGCAAATAGTGTATCTGTTTGAAAAGAAGCACAATGAACCAAGCCATATAACTATCTAAATTTTTTTTAAGAAAAAAGTTTGTAAAACTTTTCGAGAATAAGGAAGAACACCAAAAGAAACTACAGTAGCAGACAGACCTCTAGGAACTATTTCCTGTTAAAAACCCTACACCTTGCCAAGGTAACATGAGATGTTTTTGACTGTTGTTTGGTCCTTAAGGAAAAAAAAAAGTCAAATTGCAATTTTAAAAAAAATCAGACAATATTTTAATTAAAAAAAAAATCCTTGTATACCTTTAGTAAGATGTTAACATAAGCTACCATTGGCAGAATATGAAAAATATGCAAAAGATTGGGTTTTATCACAAATAAACTGTGTGATCTTGGGCAAAGTTCTTTAAGCCTCTGGGTTTCAGTTTCTTAATCTGCAAAATAGTGGGATTCCGCCTCACTAAATGGTTTCCAAGAGCACTTCATGCTCTTAAAACAAAACAAAACAAAACACCAGCGTGAAACTCTCCTCCTACAGTTCAAGTGGACCTTCCGAGCTATTAACACCGGCAGCATTTCCATGCAAAGGTTTCACGAAAACCTATTTGCTGAGGAGCAGGGCGGGGAGAAGAGGAATGGGACAGACATGCTCTTCAACGTCATGTGAGGGCCTATTTCGATAAGTAGAAATTACTCAGTAAATGTATGAACAGTATTTCTAATGCATTCCAAGAACCAAAGTGCCAGCTCACCTGAAACATCGAGAAAAATGAGAATTTTTTGTCGTACCTTTTAAAAAAAAAATTAATCAAAAGGGCATGCCAATGTCAAGTTCATGCTAATTTTAAGAGCCAATTATATTATGAAACAGTATTTACAAGGCAGGACAATTGTAACTGGAAAGTTTTTTGTAGAAATGCAATATTTTCTCTAAAGTTCTCAAAATCTACACATTTTCTTTTAAGGTTCTATCTATTTCTAAATTAATAACAATGTGATTTTTCAAATCCAAATTGCATTAAAATATTCTCTTAATGCTTTTCCACAAGTTTAACTACTGCAATTAGTCGAATACTGCATGACTTAAAAATATATTCAATAAAGAGGTAAAAATCAAAAGAGTCAGGGAGTACACGAACTGGAAACACTTAAGACAGATATCTAGGATGTACGTGTCAGAAAGAAGAGCATGTATATTTAAAAAATATAACCTGTGAGAGAAACGGCATTCTCATTGTTGGCCCGAAGTAAAAATGAAGCAACAACGACGCAGTTTATTCATTAACGCACACACAAAAAAAAAAGTCCGCAAAATGAAACTGCCTCTCCCTTTGGAAGAGACGCCGGAGTTCTCCAGCCAACTGGACGGCCTGCTCTCACAGCTCGGCTCCAAGGCCCTCCACGGTGCCCTCTGGTGGCCCGCAAGACAAGACGACGTGAAGCAGCTGCAGCTAACATTCCGTCTTTTGAAATCATCTGCCAGATGTAAACTATTTCCAGAAAACTACAACCTTTACATATGGAGATTTATTTATTTATTTTTTCTTCTGTAAGTCACAAGAGGAGAAACAATCCTGAGAACACCCTGAGCTGCAAAAGCAAGATTTTACTGAAATTTAATTATTTCACAGGCAGACTTTCATAGGTTACTTGGAGATTATAAGTTACTGAAGTCATTTCATTACACAGAGCGAAGGAGCTATGATGAATTATAACACAGAACAGCACAGTAAAATGTTTTAGGGTTTTGCTTTTTTTTTATTTTTTTGAGTCACAACATCAGATACTCTTCTGCCTCTGGCAAAGGAAGATAATAGAAATTGTCCTCCATCAGAATTGCAACATTGTTTCTAAATTCAGTGACAAGATAGTCTATTTATGGTTATTAATTCAATATATTGAATATCTACTCTATCACAAACATACCAGGAAAAGTAACAAAAATAGAAAATTCTCCCCCGCATCAAAAAACAATAACTTCCAGCTACCAAAAACTTACCATTTCGTCTTTCTCCCATTTATCTGTGTTACTTTTGTCTTGATTTACTACATAACCAGGAGGAAGCCAATTCACGGGGGGATCGAATATCGACACCACCATGCGGCTGGGCAGCCCCTTCTTCTTCCCAAGCCGGTAGAGATTACAGTTGCTGACCTAGAGCAGAAAAAAATCTGTAAGACACTTACCATAAATGACCGCTGCTGGAATTCATGCCAGGCATATTAACATACTTTACATAAATGTTCTTCAAATTACTATGAGTGGTCATCAATAATAAAAACTGTATTGTTTTTCTCCCTAGTCACGAGAGGAAACATTAAATTCCCACATATTCTATGTCCTTTAGTGTACTTAGATGAATACTTCTGAATATTAAATGCATACCAGAAAAAATGCATATAAATATGCAAATTCCTTATAAAGTCAGAAGAAACAGTTGAGAAAATTTCAGCCTTTTGAAAGTACAATATGATATGAAATGCAAAATGCTAATTGGGACTACCAGAGAAAAGAATCCATATAAAACAAGGGTCCCTAACCCCGTCTGTGGCCTGTTAGGAACAGGCCGCACAGCAGGAGGTGAGCGGCCAGGCAGCCAGTGAAGCTACATCTGTATGTGCAGCCGCTCCCCACGCCAGCTTCACCTCCTCAGCTCCACCTCAGGTCATCAGGTGTCAGATTCTCCTAGGAGCACCAGTTCTGGGGACCGCTGTAAAAAGTCCAAGATGTCCCAACAGAAATAAAGGGGGGAAACTCCATAAACTTCAGCTGTAAAGTGGAAATTGGCACGGAACATGGCTAAAATAATTTTATATTCCTAGAACTTAAGGCAGAAATATGATTTCAATTGTACTGTTTTCTCAAACGTTATTCCCTTGTTTTGGATGTTACTTCAATATATCTTGGTTCAATCATTTTAAAATAGAGCAAAAGGCAATAAAAAAAACCTCCATTTTTATTCGCATCAATAAAACCCTCTGGGTCTGTTTTTCTAAAGCCTCCATCTCCTAATTTACTCGAATCACTGCATTTCTGTCTTGTTTTTACTTGGAAACTAGGGTCTAGAACTATTGATCTTATTTTCATTTTCTAAAATCTGGGATTCTTTTTATTTAAGTACTTCATGTGCCTTTTTTTCCACATTAATTCAACACCATGGAAAAAGCACCCACCACGGAAAGCACTGGCTCAGGCATCCCCGAGAGAATGGACGGAGCCGGCGAGACAGAGCGGCGGTCCCTGCACAGCACTCGGCTGGGAGGGGGGGGGTCTACACAACGCTGCGTGCCAACCGGCTTTCCCACGCTGCCCGACACATAGCACGCAAATAAACGCCAGTTTCCTTTCAGGCGATGAGAACACAACAGCACAGATGCCACTGAGAAGATAGGTAAAGTGCAACGGGGACTCCAAAGGGATGGAAATCACAGTCAAAGGCGACAGAAATGGATGGAAGAGGAGGAATGAACTAAGTGAGGCCTGACGTGAGGCTCCACGTGGGACGGGACGAATTCGGCAGGTAGAGATGGGTAAGTGCTCCGAGACGGAACACCAGCCATGCGCACACGGAGCCCGGGCGCAGAGCAGCGAGGAGGCTGGAGCCTGCCTGCAGCGGGCACGGACGCGCCTGGGGCGCGCGCACTGGGCCCTGCATCTCTCAGCTGGGGGGAGGGTTTCTGCAGGAAAACAGGGATCAAAGCTTTCTGAGCAGACGATGAATTTTCAAAATAGAAATGTCCTTCTTACCGAACAGAGTATACATACTGGTACTTCCTGCCAATTCTTAGCCTCTGATATCGTCTTTCTGCAACCACCCTGGGCAATCTCATTCTCCAAGCTCCAACCATCTCATGACTACTCCCCGCTAAACTGTATCTGAGTCCTAAATTCTCAATTAGCTGAACGCTTCACCAAACATTCCACTTCATATTCCATGAGGTCCAAAAACCCAGCCCCAACCCTGACTCCCACACCTCTGTGTGCACCTCCCCAGCAGCACCGCCACTGCGCTAGCCTCCCAATGCTGTGGCTGTCACCGCTGCACCAGCAGCCTGCCTCCCCCAACACTGGGAGGCAGAAAAAGACGGTGAAGGGTACGGCTCTAGCCTCAGACACGGTCCTGACTACCCGGGATAAGCCAGGTGACTTCGCACAAGCTAACTGGATTCTCTCGGCAGTTTTCTCATCTGCAAAATGTTTTCTGCCTCCCAACGCATTGCCTGGTGCGGACAGGGTAATGTCACAGAGGTCAGTGCAACAGGGTAGAGCTAGGTCTGCCACCTGAGAGCCACGTGACCTTGGGCAAATCAGCCTCTCCTGCCCCGGTACGCCCATCTACAAAATTAGAATAACAGTGGTGTCTGGTTAGAGTAAGCACTTCGTAAGTTGGGCTAAAATGATTATTTCCTCTGAAGCATCACTTACCTCGGCCCTCTCCTCACTGCCAAAACTCCAGCTCTATCCCATTTTCTGCTCGAGCTCAGGCTTCTTCAAAGGCCCAGCTGATTGCTCAGAGAGGTTTGGTTGTGCTTTTCAACTCACAGTGCATTCTGCTACCAGACCGATCGTTTAAAACTACCCCTTTATTAATATTAACAGACCCTGATGCATAAAGGGCCCGGCCCGGCGCTGAAGAGCCCCCAGAGCGGAGCCTCAGCCCACCTGCCTTTCCGAGTCTTTTCGCAGGGACTTCCACACTTCTGACTGCTGCCGCCACCGATTCGGAGCGCCAGCACGCGCTGCCACCACTGGTTTTATTTACGCAGTGTCAACGTACCTCTTCTGTCACCACCTTCCCTGACCAGGTGATCTGAGGCTTTGTATGGCATTTGTCAAGCCAGGTCCATGTTGCCTTGTGACACCTCTCTTACCGTTTCAACATTTTACTGTCATTACATTTCTTCCTTAGACCTTTGTCCCACTCTGACTTGGGGAACACGCCCTTCCTCTGGTCTGCGAAGCTCTGCTTCCTTGGATCTCTCACGGAGCGAGGGGCAGGCGCTGCTTGTCCCCGCCTACCTTGAAAACCTTGCAGATGAGCTCCTCCGGGAAAGCCCCGTGTCATCCACGTCTGTACGCCCCGAATGCCAAAACAGTACCCTCCCAAAAAAACGTTTAACGCAACTAAACTAAAGCGCAAGCTCCTGGAACAACCATGCTGCCCGCTTACATCGTCCTCTGGATCTAGCAGGGGCACGCACCCTCACGAATAGTTGTACTTGAACTAAATTTCTATCAATAAATAAAGCACATACAGATCAGCGAGCCCCCAAAAGCTGGGCGCTTTGTCAGTGAAAACCGGATTCGTGCCAAGTCTTGGGTGGATGTGCCACAGGCTTTGGCTGCGCGTGCCCGGTGCCGCACACCCTGCGGCTGATACTTTCCTCATCCTCTGAAACAACCGAGTACTTATAATTACTCTAACTGCTCAAAATATAAGAATTACTTCTCACCTTTTTGCTTCTCATATATGAAAGGCGGCCCTCATGAGCATCAGGATAAGTGCAAAACAGGTAGGTGGTGATGGCATGCTTTAAAAAGGAGTCGCCAAGCATCTCGAGCCGCTCCAGGTTGAACCCATCGCTAGCATTCGAAAGGGTCAAGGCCTGAAGAATAAGCCCAGGATTTGGGCCGAGAGTCCTCGAGGAGCGCCCGGGAGAAGGGCTCTGCTTAGAACCCGCCCTGTCCTCGAGCGTGGGGACAGCCTCTGCAGTGCCAGGCATCGCGGCCGTCACGGGACTTCCATCTGAGGTAGATTTGTTAGCATTTCCATCAAGGTATTTATTACTCAGTAGAGTACATTCATCGCTGGGCTTGGGCTGGTTCTCATAATTGTATAAATTCTGAATGGGATATGAGGTAGTTGGTTGTACAGGTATTTCCTGCTTGTAGTAATTCAGCTGATTTCCTTGGCAAAAGTCTCTGTTAGCTAGATCATAACTGCCATTGGCAAGGTTTCTATTGTAAGAAAGACCATTAATTGCTGTCAGATCTGTTGAAACTTCAATTGGGAGCTTACCAGGTGACTCATTGAATAACATTCTGCAGTTCACAGACATTTGGTCATGATTTTCTAGAGAGGAGGTTCGATTAGCACCTTGATGTGCAGCATTTTCAGGGACTACAATTGTGCTGTGCTTACAGTAATTATCATTTTCCGCTGAAGAGGAGTTAGCAATTGAGATGAAAGATTTGCTGTCGATAGATTTTTTCCATCCGAAGTCTAAGTTAGGGTATCTGCGGAGACATGTTTATAAATTTCATCAGGTCCTTCACAAGGGCTAGGCTTAGAACAAGAGCAATTTGAATGAAAAATAAAGAGCCATACAAATACACTACTACTTTAGAAGAAAAACGAATTTCCGAGGCAGAAATCAACATTACTGGATGTCTGCACAGTGTGAACTGTGATGGGGACGCGGTTCGCTGCACTGCTTTAACCCCGGCCTGGGGGGCGGTGGGCTGGTTAGGTCTCAAAGTCTGCAGCTGGCCTGCGGGGCTAGGGTTAACTAGCTGGGTAACGCTGGACAATTTACATTACCTCTCTGTGCCTGAGCTTCTGCACTTGGAAGAGGGGCTAACAATTCCTACTATTATATTTTAAAGTTCCTCAGTCTCTAGAACCATCTTGGTCTTGTGCCAATTGGATAACCAAAATTAATTTGAGTGGTTAAACCAAAAACTTCCTTAGAATGCAGAGATTTTACTAGTGGGAAGAAAATAATGAAGGTAAAGAATGTACTGAGGCAATCGCTTTTTAATATGAATCGAGTTTTATAAGACAAAGCAGTCTTAGAATGTCGGCACAGGAACAAAAGACTGTTTTCATTTTCACTTCAACTGCCACCACGGAGGGAAGAATAATTACTTTTGTCCTTAGCACCTCATCTCCCTCTGTAACTTTACAAGAACACAGGCCTCGAAGACCCCAATATACAGATTTTCACTTAGGAATCGAAGGATGCACTTATTTCATGTATTAGACATCCCTGTTTTCTTATTAATCTTTTAAGAACCATTTTATACAAAATTAAAGGTTGAACTTAATTTAGTTCTTTTGGAAATAGGATTTCAGATTTCATGGCCCGTATTCTGGCAGACGGCACAGGCATACCTAAAATCCACAGGAAGTGATCTGACTCCCACGCCAGCATCGCTGGCTGTCTGGGCTCTTAGCTCCTCTGCAGTCAAAAGGCAGTGAAGGCGATAAAGGATGCTGGGGAGACAGACTGCTTTTCTCCACAGTGATGCTGGAATTGGATGTATAGCACAGAGTTCTGGAACCAGTATCTTTGAATGTGAAAAGATGTGAACAGATAAATATGAAGCAAACACACAAAAGAATGAAAAACCAATTTAAAATCAATTTGACTAATGAATAAAGATAAACATCGTTAAGTACTAGCAAATCTTATTTTTTTAAAAATTTACAAAAAGAATCCTGTAGGGCCAAGTGCAATTTATCCTAGGAATTTATTAAGGATGATTTCATGATATAATTGTATCAATAGACGAAAACATTGATATTTGGTCCAGATACAAAAAGCAAAACTGAAGACTGCGACATGGGAGGGCAGCAGGGGTGCGGGGTGAAAAAGGGACAGGATTAAGAAGTATAAATTGGCAGTTACAAAACAGTCACAGGGATGTAAAATACAGCATAAGGAATCTAGGCAACAGTATAATAACTACGTATGGTGTCCGGGAGTAACTAGACTTGGTGGGGGGTTCACTTCGTAAGGTATATAAATGTCTAACCACTATACTGTACACCTGAAACTAATATAATACAGAAGCTTAACTGTAGTTGAAAAATAAAAAAATAAAGAATATTTTAAAATAATCCTTGAAGGCCAAATGAGATTTATCTTAGGATTTGTAAGGATTATTTCATGATATAATTGTATCGATGGACCAAATATAAAAGCCAAACCTCTCACACTGACCAAAAAGACATTCAAATAAAAGTCGACACACAGTATTAGTTAAACCAAAAAAAACCTACGGGTTGGGCAATTTTCAAAATATTCGCAAGCCACTCAGTTCACTTGCCAACAGAAACTGCAAATTTGTCTTTCCAAATAGTAAGTCACGCTGAGGACCTTAGCTCGTTACCTGTTTGTTCTGCAGACTTTCCCATTTGGCTTTCCTTTTTTCAGCACTGCTCAGAGGAAGAGCTTTCCCCTTCTGATTCAAATGGCGAGGCGTCAAAAGATTAAGTCTATAAAAATTGCAAAATAATTTTATCAAACAGACAAAAACGAGCACAGTCTCGCAGCGACTTGCCAACTTTGGCAGGCCTACACAGCACCCGAAGAGCTCATCCAGACTGCAGGGCCCGGAGCCACACCCGGCAGTCCCACGTGCAGAGGCTGTCCTGCCTGTCCAGCTTACAGGTGGGTGGTAGGGATGGAGAACCTCTGCAGGTGCCTCCTGCCCTCTGGGAGAATGCCTCAAGTGAAGCTGAAACGTCATTTCGGAAACGCCTTACCTTGAAGATGTGTGGTCCACATCCAGCAGTGGCTGGTTGAGATTGGTCAGGTCAAGGTTATACTTTGTTTTATAATATTCTGCAAAAGTTTCATACTCAGGGGAAGGAAATTTACTCAGTGGAGTAAGATCAGTGTACACATCAGCTACATAAAATCGATGAGGCTGATCGAAATTTCGATATCTAAAAAAAGAAAAATAATCAGTGACTTTTGTGTTTAAATTAACTATCCTCAAAACGACTGTTTTTAATACAGAAATGCACATTATGATTTTCAAGTAAGAGTTCAAAAGGTTAAAAATAAATAACATTAACAAAAACTTCAATTCTAAATAATATATTTCCAGTGGATTTGAAACAAGAACTCTTTGTATCAAGCAAAAATGGACTGACTCCCTCTTCTCCCTACTTTCCTATTATCCTACTCTACTACTGACTAGTCTAAATATCTAGACTTTGATATCACATGACTGCAAAACGGCACCTTTAAGGACCTCTTAATTTCATCAATACAAACTGTATGGGAAACTTCCAATATCCAAACTGAGTAATGTACTAATGCTAAACATGAAAGACACTTGTCATATGAAATGTATTACTGTACCATTTACAATTCTGATGGTTTGATGATATAGCTAACACTTAAAATATAGCTTTGAGGTACAAAAAGAAAGAATTAGTACTCTAATTCTTTGAAAACTGCCTTTACTGAATTTTATTGCTAAAAATCTCCATCCTCTAAGTTTTTACAAAATAAGAAGGAAAGCATTCTGATTTACTATTTTCTTTGCACTTAATAACATTACAAATAAAAATTTTAAGAAAGGAAATATTTATGACCAAATTCTAGAAGACTTTGGGATTAAAAGGATGGAGATTTTAAGAAGAAAGTTTATTAATACCATTCAGATTATCTAACCTTCACCAAGTAAAATACCTTCACCAAGTAAAATACCTTCACCCAGAGTTTAGGTTTCATTTTTAAGGATGTAAATTGGCGAAAACAGGTCCACCATGAAGCGAGATCTAAGTTTCCCAGTAGTAGCATCAATGTCAAAATCAAGCCCACTCACATTCCCATGTGAGCAAGTGAATCTTTAGAAAGAAAGTGTCACCACCACTTTGCTTTCCACTTAAATGCCTACCTTGGAATGATCACTGCATCCTGGTAATCTTCCAATTTAAAAACAAAGGGTGTTTCTTTTGAATACTTTGTACTGGGAATGCCTATGCGAGCTTCAGATTTCTCAATATCTTCCATGAACTTAAAGTCAATGTCCAAAGTGCTGGAGTCATTAACTTAAGAAAGAAAAAGACTCTTTAGCTTATAATAAAATAACACAGATAAGATTATCACTTAAGCTATATATTCATATGTGTCTAATTTAGAGTTATCAAAGTAAGAGGTTTCTGTAGTATATCCAATAAGCTAATTATCCAATAAAACTTGCAATTTTTAGCTAGTAAAAGTGAACGCTTTAGAGTCTGCATCTTCTTACCAACATTCAGAGGTAGAACACAGTAAGCCGAATCAGCGTCTGTGGGTTTAAACTCTAGTGCAGGTTTTTCAAGGCGAAGAATATGTGAGAATATATACTGGTGGAGTCTTGTGATCAACTCGAGCATTTGTAGAGACAATGTGAAACCAGACTTCTTCAACTCAATAGATATGGTCACCTCTCCAGAGCGAGTATACACGGGAAAGTGCGGAATCTTAGCAAAAAGAAAAAGCACCCCAAAGTTAACAGGTGGTTTATTCCTTTATAAATATTTAAGTTCAAAAGAGGAACGATGCTTCCTATCAGAGAAAAGATACCTCGATTTTTAAGTATTAAACACACTGAGGTAACGAAAGGCAGTTATTCTTAAGTAGTTTCTCCTTTTTAAAAAGATGATTATTTTTGATAGAAATCGTTACCCTGAAGAGTCTCACCTGAGGTATGGGTTTGGCTGTCAGTATTCCGAAGCATCGTGTAGTATCCTCGGGGGGATAAAGCTTCCGCCTTCTGAAGTTGAGCTCATCAGGCAGCGGTGTCGTGAGAACCATCCCTATCACATACAGGTAACAGGGCTGATCGGGTCTAGGGTAGCTATCCCTCAGACATTCTGGAATCTAGAATTGGGAAGAAAAATTCAGCATCAAGCTCAAGTCTAATGGCCTCTTTTCCAGATGTTGGCAAGGAAACAAATTTATTCCTGGATTCACCAAATGCTGATAAGGAAAAGCTAAAAGGGTAGCCGAGGCACAGGACCTCCTAGTTACTTAACCTGCTGGAGAGTAAGCACATCTCAGGTCTAGGACGCAAGGTGGCCCACATTCACCTACCTTACAATGCACTGCTGACTATAAGGCTAATGCCAAAATTAGACAAAACGAACACTGTAGGGTCTTTTTTATTTAAAAAAAAAATACTACTCATCTGATCTATTTTTTTTGGCTCGAGAACTCTTTTCTTCCTTGAGTCTTTATTCACTATAGAATATAATAAAGGCAGGTGAATTTTTAAAAAACCCACATGATACTATTACTCAGATAACCTTTATTAACATTTTGATATACTGTATCACCTCTAGACGTTTTCCTAGGTATCAATGTATATAAACATACACACGCACGTATTATTCATTACAAATGGAATCTCAAAGACGGTGTCACAGCCTGATTTTTCTCTCCGATTTCTATATGAGTAGAAAATGAGACTATCTTTCAGGGTTGATATGAATCAGTGTCATCATTTTTAATGGCTACCTACCTCATTATATGAGTAAATCATAACTTAATCTGAAATTGTTTCTAAACTTTCAACATCCATACAACCCCGCCCAATAGAATCCTTCAGTTTCTGAGACTCAGTGACAGAAATGATTATAGTTAAAAGGCAGAAAAATGCTGGCTTAGAGATGGTTATAATTAAGAGTCTCCAATAACACAGAATATACCTATTAATTAAACAGGATGTAAGGCAGTGCTATGCTTCTCAAACACTTAGTAGTGACGTATGTCACATGCAATTAGTCCAGTTATCTTCGGGGTAAATGTCAGAGCACATTTACAGGACCTCTTAATTTCATCGGGGTAGGAAGGAAACCACCATTTCAAGAAAATGGGTAACATTCATCATTTCTGAATAACTGACAAGATTCTCAATCTTGAAACTGCTTAGCTGTGCAAATATTTTTAAAGTAAAACTTCAATAAAACTACAAAAATGAAATAAAAGGATGACACGTTTAGGCTAAGATGAAAGTACACAGCAAAATTTTGCTTTTGCTTAGGGTTCTTAGAGGTAAAAATGTTAACATCTTGTAATTAAGTAAGCCCAGGATGGCTATAACTAGAAGTCGCTCTCGAGGTTATTTTAACGCACGAAACCTGCTAGCATGCCACAGATCGAACTAGACGCCACACGCTGAAATCCTGATTCTGACTCCGAGCAGGCCACATCTTAACTCCTGACAAACAGGTGTCCTCATACCTGCCGGTGCACCCTTCACCTTGATCGGGCATCTTTTCACTTGCCTATTTTAGCATACAAAGCCTCTTTTGTCTTAGCCCCTAACGAAAGTAAAGCAAGACTCCTACCACTACAATGAAGAGAACAGAGGTCTCTTTAAATGGAATAAACTCATTCTGGATAGAATCTGAAAGATGAGGCCAAGAACCCTTTGAGAAGAAAAAACAAGGTGGCGTCTGAAGTGGGAGAGAATGCGCAGGGCAGGAGCGAGAGTGAAGGGGCTGGTCGGAGGGGTCGTCAGTGGAGAAACGCGCGAGGTCCACAGGGTGGGCCAATCACAGGGGCTTGGAAGGCAAGCTGAGGCATCTGGATGTGACGTAGCAGGAAACAGAGTCAGAAAGGCCCGGTTTCGACATAGTTCAAACCGATACTAACTGCTTTGGGGTAGCACTGCCTGCGTTTTGTGGAGCCCGGTCTGCCTGGGACACTGGTCTCTTCCTCATCATGTAAGTCAAGCTCTTCTTCATATTTAACGGTTTCTTTCCCAACTGGCATCAAATGGTCATCCAGTTCCCCTAAGAGATTTAAAGAGAATTAACATATACAATCCAAAATTTGCCAAATTAATTTGTAAATGATACAGAACAGCACTGTTAGGAAGCAATCTTTACCTTTAATCGTAAAAAAAGTAACCAGATGTGATACCTAAGGAAAAGTCTATGTTGGCATTCCCTTATTCAGCGTGAGAAGAATTACAAACTCTTGTTCTAAGTTTCAGAAATAAAAACCATCACTTTATAAATGCCATGGAAAACAAGTCTCCCCATTTTAAAAAAAATGGGTGAATTTTACACTATATAAATGTGAGACTGATATATTAACACATTCGTGATTCAACAGTACGAGAAAAACCTTTATGTATTCAAAAGGCATCAGAAAAGAAAGTGAAAAACTACAGCCGCTGCAACTCAGGTATGCAGCCCCGCCCCGCCCCGCCCCCACCAGTCAAGGCCACATGGCAAGGGCAGCAGGTTCACAGAGCCACAAAGTCCACGGAGACCTCTAAAGTCCTTGATATGCTTGTTTTACACTGTTTCTAACTTCAGTTTTATTTGCATGTGCTTGTCAAACACTTACCAATTTTGTGCAGTTTTTCACAGCAAATGAGCGCTACGACTCTTTCGGCTAGGCGTGTACAGCTCATCGGTGGACCCTGAAAGTAAAAAAACCATTGTCGTCACATATGCACATAGCTATGTTAACACCCAAAACAGCTATGAAACCGCTGCCCCAATACCTTCAGAGTTAAAATTCACCAGAGCAAAGTTCTTTATTTTAAAAAACGTCAGCAAGTTTTTAAAACTCCTAATCTCCGTTTGTGAGATAGCCATCTCTAAAAATCTTGCCCAGTAAAAAACTAAATAAGTTATAACTAAGATTTGTCAGTATTGGTGAATTTAAAGTTCAATAAGATTTTAACGTATCTTATTTTCACTAATCTACAAATATGTAACCGAAAAAATAAAGACATCAGGATGTGACTATAACACACACGTTAATGGCTCGGAACTGCTTTTCACACACAGTGGAGACCAATCATCTTGGAATATCTGGAAATCTGCATTGGGACCGGGGACAGCAGTTACACAAAGGCAGATTTTCAAGTCGACAACAAAATAACCAGAGCGGCCCAAGCATATTTCATGAATTCTATGTCACTACATTAACTAAGCCACAGCTGAATGATTCTGTCAGAAATGTTCGCACTGATAAAATCGGAAAGGAAACTTCAGAGGTCAGCTATTCCACTCCTGAGTCTGTAAGCTACATAGTCTACTGAAGATCTGAACATGTGTGTAGTTGACTGCAAAAGAGATTCATAAATCTACTTAGTAGATTTAAAGCCAGATTACCTATAAATCACATAGGCTTGGAGAAGCTGAAAAAAAGAAAAAACATTAATGACATACATTAAAGGCACAAACGTTTTTTTCCTAAACTTACAACAATCGAGGCTCGAAGAGGTGAGTTAATTGGCAGATAGAGAGTTGAATAAAATGTCCCATCAGGCAGCTCTCGGGTTCTGCATTTAGGGGCCAGATGAGTGAACGGATCACTTGGTAATCTAGCACAGTATCTGTGAAGAAACAGAAATTCCGACGCTGAACTCACACGTGAGAGACCGATGAAAACCACTGTATTAACATTCACATCTCAAAGTCTGACTTCTGTCGCTGTTCCCTGCCACTGCACTGGTATTTACACGTGGAATGTGAGCTCCGTGGCTTCAAGCTTTCAGTAAGACGGAAGGACTTTGTGTGACAATGTTCTGCCTATGCACTGTCCAACGGCGCAGCCACCGAGTGCCTGAAACATGGTGAGGGCAGCCACGGAACAAACTTTTCATTTTATTTGATTTTAACTAAAATTGAAATTTGAATTTAACTAGCCACATGCCTAGTGCTACCATACTGGACAGTGCAGAAAATATCGTTCTGAGCCCGTTAAGAGACCACGGAGCCAGTGCTTGCTCCTTACACTGGCCGGCCACGACAGGGCCCTGTGCGAGGCAGGCAGCAGAGGGTGGAGGGCCAGCCCAGCACCAGCACAGAGGACGCGAGGACAGGACGTGGAGCGGCAGCGCAGGTGACTGCTGCAGCCGGGTGAGAAGCTGCGAGCGGGTGTGAGGCCAAGTTAAGGAGGCTGCTGGGACAGAAGGGCGCTGGACCGGGCAGCAGCCCTGCAAGGTCGGGGCCTGGGCACTCAGGGCACCCAAACATGGTGGCGGCCCTGCGGAGTGGCTGCATACTGGGAAAATGGACGCAAAATTATTTGGAAAACAATGGGAATCATATTTCTCATTACTGAAGAAGTCAGGATCAAAGATGGAAAAGAGGAAAGCTAGAATGAACCCTCCCGTGTCATACTAAAAACGGAGGTAATGTCATATAGGTAGTCAGATACAGAAACAAATATAAACATGTATGTGAATATCCATGTACATATGCATAAACATGTGTTCTAGCTCTACCTGCTAAGGAGCCTGGCAGCAGCGATATTCAGTGGCAGTGAGTACACCTAGTGGTTTTTAAAGACCACTCATTCTCCACTAAAAGGAACCAAGGCCTTCTGGAGAAACAGCCAATCTCTAGGCTGAGTCTAGAACATTTTGGTAGGCCATAAATAAGGAAGTATTTGAAGAATCATGGTGACATGTTAAAAAGACACAGAAGCTAGCTTGAAGGGGCTCTTGCTGGCCAAATCTGAGATAATTTTAACATCAAAATAAATAATAAATGACAGTAACAGAGTATAATCCATGAGTCCATTAGTTCGCACTGAATGAAAAACTAAAAAGAATAAATGGAAAAAAAGCAAAAACGCTTTCTTACAGTAGAACGCCAACTAATAAATGCAGAAAGGGAAATGGAATTAGAAAATCACCATTCTGCAGTTATCACAAGAATAATCAATTCAGGCAAGAAACATCAATGGATACTTAAAAGTAATGGGCGAAACTGGGAAGAGAAACAAATTTTACTTTCAAAGTATCTCCCCAGAAAATCAATCACTAATTATAAAGGGGAAAGGTAACTTGGTAGTAGAGAGAGCTGGCAGACCTACGTAAGTGACCCAAGTCACCACCACCAGCAAGAGCACAAATCGACATCAAGGGGGCCTGATAAAATGAAATGAGGAGAAGCAGCACGACCTCTGTGATGTGCTGGCCGCAAAATGCATCACCTGGGTCTAATCATGAGAAACATTGTATAAACCCAAATTGAGAGACAGACTACAAAATGACTAGCCTGCGCTCTTCTGAAAGCTTCAAGGTCGTTAAAGTCGAGGAAAGACTGAAGAATGCTTCCTGGCTGAAGGAGACTAGAGACGATGGGAAAATGGATACGACCCACCATCCTGGACTGGATTCTTTCTCTACAAAAGAACCTTCTCATGAAATCTGAATGGGTCTCTCGCTGAAGGGTGTATGGGAGTTCTCTGTAGTATTCTTGCAACATTTTAAAGTTTGAAATTGCTTCAAAATTAAAAGTTAAAAAGAAAACCTCACGCTTGCTGCTCCTTTATTTTGCCCCTGCATGCAGTTCACCCTGATGCGAACGTAAGCTAGGTATGTACCTGCCTTCCTTAGTTCTTGGAAGTGTTATCACCAACTCAGGGCGAAACAAATCAGAACAAACTCAAAAATACAAGTTAATTTATCACAATCTTAAATCACCGCTGATGGAAAATTCAACATTCTCCAACATTCACAACACAAAAACAAATTTCAAATTGCAGAAAAATATTAGTGAGCACTATAAAATTAAATTAAATCTAATTAAAATAAGCACACCTTCATTACATCAGTCTTGTCAATGAGAACTAAACATTTATTACTGCATAATTAATTCTGTTTTTGCTTTTTGACCAAAAAGAATGAATGGAAAAAGCAACTTCTTTCCCATATCTAACTATTACAAATAGAAAGACTGGTGATTGTTTGCAAAAGGTATTCAGCAATACAATACTTATAGGTTTAGACTTAGGTCTTGCAATACTCACAGACTTTCCAAGCAAATGAGTTCAGGCCATACCTATTGATGTGTCCGATGGCTGTGTTGATTGTGACTCGTGGACCACCATCATCGGGCCTCAACACGTATGGTGGGAAAACATCATCATCATCCACAACGGGCTCAATCTCAGTCTCACCAGTATCAACTGACTTGGAACATTTATTTCTTAAGATCTGAACATTTTAAAACAGAATTTATGATGAGAACAAATACCTCCTCTGCCACATGTTGGCTGTCTTCCTCTGCACCTACAGAAAAGGCTCCTCTGACGTGAGACCTCTCTCTCCTAAACACACGTCAGTACCCCAAAGTCATCTGCTCAGAAAGTTCCTCCCAGTGCACTCCTCCCAGCTCAATCATGCGGAGACACTCATCGCACAGGTATAAAGTTTACGCTGTACTGCGTGCATGCACACGACTGCCTATCTTGCATGAGTACAGGAGCTATGCTGCCACTCTCAAATCACTCTATGACTCAGTCGACTGTTACTACTGTCCACACTACACTTTCCAGGTATTCTTCCCCAACTATCCATCCAATCATTTTCACTGCTATTTTTACTGTGAGTTTTCAAACACTCCGTAAAGTACCGCTGGCTCTCTGGAATTATGTTTGACTTTCTCATGATGTGTACACTGCACACCACTATTAAGATTATTCTCTGTAGACAGATCGTTTTTATCTATTTACATGCTCATAAAAATAACTTAAGAATATCGTATTAATTTTTGGATCCTACCTTTTCAATAGCTTTGTACGTTTTCAGGTCTTCTTCAAAACTTTTTATTTTGTCTGTATCTGCTAACATTATATAATTAGAGATCGGTGCCCTTGCTCTCCCTTTAGATTGAACATAGGATCGATACTCTGTGGGCAAATCAAAACGAACCACCAAGTTGCATTTTGGTATATCAACACCCTCCTCCACAATACTTGTTGCAATAAGCAGGTTAGTCTCATGTGCTCGAAATTTCCTAAGCACCTGAAAAAAAATCCACCAAAAAAGAGCAATTCTAAGAACATTACCAAGGAAAACGATGTAGTAAAAATAAGTGACAACTGTCAGTGACACATACTCTGAGCGAGCTAAATCTTTAAGATCAAGAAGATGACATCGAACAAAACTCAAGATGCATGAACACATGGGCAAAGAAACTCCGAGTTAATGACTATTTTTCAACCGCATGTGACTTGAAAAATCAAAGTGCCTTTCAACTTACAGAAGTGCCCTCTACAAACCCCAGGAAGCCTGCAGGGCGAAGGGGCTGGCCTCCTTAACAACCACAAAAGAATCTAATCGACACAGTGAGTGACCAAACGAATACACTTCTGGAGTCCTGTTGACACTCCAGCCCTCCAAAGAGGTATCTTAGGTCTGGAGACTGAGCAACATCCCTCCAAAAATGTTAACATTTCAGTAAAATCCCTAAGTCACTTGGAATTAAAATTATAAGCAAGGATTCACTTATTTTCTGAATTTTAGGAATTTTCAATTTAAGAAATCAGAACAATTTAACGAAGTGAAAACTTTTTTCATACTAGATTTAAAATAATATTGTATCATGATCCAGGATAGGTTAGATGATAAAGTGAGCTGAGTTTTTAGGCAGATCTAGCAGCTCCGTCTCCTGGTGTCCCCAAAGCTGGAATATTATCAAAAAGCTACGATGTAGAAAATGGCGTCAATGTGAATTATTCTGCTACTTTTATGTTAAATAACAGTTAAAATAAAGACTTTGGGTTTGCAAGCTGAAACACCATATTGTTTTCGCATATTTACAATGCTGTTTCCTACATTAAAATCTTTAAAAGCATGAAAAAAAATAAGCCAAAATCTATATGGAAAACAAAACATTTTCCAGGAAAAATTTTCAGTCTGTTGCGCTTCAGAGTCCTAAGGAGTCAACAGGAGTTATAGTTACACATGCTGAGCTTCTCTGTAAAATGCAGTTGTGTGCCTGCCGTCAGTCCAATAAAGGAAAATGAAATGGCTGATAGCAGTTAAGACAGAAAATTGATTCGCCAGACAACTATTCTAATGCTGTATTTATGAATCACTACAGAGTTACCTCTCAGGAGACAGCTGCTCTAATTATGAGCAAGTATTCTACATTACAAGAGAATGCTGAGGAACTATGAAGAAAGGGGGTTCCGACAGGCAGAGTCTGTGAGCACATGTCCTGAAAGTTGTCATTTTACAATTATTCTAACTTAAGTTACCTCTTCCTGTTTTCTGAATTCCGCTTCCATCTGTTTGTTACGAGGCTGATTCTTGCCGATGCCATGTCCAGTTATAAAATTGCTGCTGATGTAAGCCAGCTCTGGATCCTGTTTGCCAGCTTCCTTTATCAATCTAGGAAAATTATATACATTTAGAAGTTAAGCACTGCTGAGGGGAAAATAATTTAAGCCTTTGTTTGTAAGGTCTCCCTTAAAATGGAAATACATGTATTTTTTTGCCATCGTACCTAACAAAACGATCTTGGTATTTTTTTTCGACTAGCTTAAACGGAAATCACGCCACTCTTCGCTGAGTAGAACTGTGGATCAAATACTTATAACACCAAGAACAGAGTTTCTTTACAACGATGACTGAATGGTCACAGGACCGCAAACTTTCTAATCTGGCAGTGGTGACGCAGTAGAAATGTGGCCTGTGGCAGCAGCCACGCCCATGTCGCTATGGCCACGCTTACGCAGAATACACACCAAACACCCTGACGTCCAGGGGAGAATTTCCACAGCGAAGGAAACCCACCCCCTCCGCGTGTAACGAGAGTTCCAGCTGTGCGTCCTAAGAAGCCTGGTTAGTTTTTCCAGTCTCACCCCAACACCCTGTGTCGCCGGAAGTGGAGCCCCAGAGAAGAAACACCTGCATCTACTGATAAGCACCTTTATTCCTAGCACCTCCTGTTCCCAGGCACTGATCACAGTTCTGCATAACAGAATACGGACTTGGGCACAGCAACGCCAGACCCCACCCCACCCCACCCCACCCCATCATGAAAGAGAAAGACTCCGGACTCTGGTCCCTCTCCTGGCCTGCTCCTCTGCATTAGCCAGAATGCCCACACCCCGGGGCTAGCCTTCTGGCTAAGAAACGGAAAAGAGCTACAGAATGAGATCGCATTACCCGGTACGGAAGGTTAACAGTGCTGCCATTACAGCTATTTTGGAAATATCCACATTCAAAAACTCAGCACACAGGATAAATGGTTCCACACCTGATGTAAGTGATTCCATACGGCTCTTCTGAAGTCATACAACATAGCAAAAATTCCTAACAGAAAACTGCATTTTTAAGTCAAACCATTCTTTCCTTCTTCTGACTACATGAAACAGACTAATATCAAAGAGCTGGAAGAAACCCGGAGTGGCCATCGAAAGTATCTTCCTGCTTCCACATCGGCAGAACCGGGCACGTCCAGGTTAGTCTGAGGGCCTGTCTATAATTCAAGTACTCGAAATGTTCAGAATCAGAAACTTCCATCATATGTTCCAAGCTCTGTTTCGTCACTATAATAAACTTACGTCAGTAACAGAAAGCAACGTGACATGCAAACGAATAGCATGCCCCAAAATCTAAACTATGAAGTTATCTTAGAAATAATATGTACTTCCAAATTTTAGTTTATATAAATAAGCATCAATGTAAATGCAATAGAGGAAAAAAAGAAAATGCATTTAAAGTTACTCCTAATTAGGCAAAGAATGTATTTTACTTTGCCAAAATGATCAATCTGGCAGACTTCAATTAACTGAGAAATGCGAATGCTAAATTTATTTCTCCTTAATGAAACTCACATCCATACTGCAAAGAACAGACAACATGCACATTTGTAAACAAAATCCCTTCTGAGCAATAATTAAATGCTACATACATAGGCTGACAACGTTTAGACAAAAATTTTCTCTACTAAGAGATGCTTAATCACGTGCCTTTGACAAAGCTACAGGCTTCTGGAAAGACAAAACAGGGCGCTTACCAGTGAGTCACACAGACTGCCTGTAGTTTCATGGTACCACAGAATTGGTTAAGACAAAGTCTGTTTCTTTTGACTCTCAACACCGAATTTTACTTGAGTTGCTCTGCAAGCAAACTGATCAGCTAGCTGTTCTCTAGCGCACAGAGCTTCTGAGACCATCTGCAGTGAAGAACTGGTTTTCTTTCCTAATTTTGAACCCATCATAGATCAATATTTTTGTAAATTTCAATGAAAATTAACCACTAACAAAATGAAACTTATAAAGCATTACTGTTATATTATATTCAGCAGACATAACTCTCAAAACTATAGAGTTTCAGGGTGCTTACTCTCAATCTCTGTACCTAACTCACCACAACTGGCACAAGCCCACAGACCACACTGTATGTACATGCACATTGCCTCCCCAATTATATTGGAAACAGCATGGCTAAAACCAGGAAATATGTATCCTATATTCCAAAAACTAGTAGATGCATTATTGAACATTGTGATGTGACTAAATGTGCGAATTTATACAGACAACCATGAGGGGGAAAATCTTCAAAGATACACACATATCACTGGAAACATCTACCAGGTACTGACGCATGTTATCACTAATACCTTACTCCTTATATTTACTTATTAGTGTGAGAAAATCGAATGTAATTCCTTTATGACCTTACCCCCAAAAAACAACTATCGTAGTTATAACACACTGATACTATCTTCCCCAAATATATGCATAAAGAACATAAGAAATGAGTACCCACTTTGTGTCAGGTGATAAGAGTCATTTTTACACACACTGTCACTTATTAACAATCCAACAGGAGAGGAAGCTATTATTATTTTATAAAGGAAGATGCTGAGGCTTTAAAAAGTTAAGTAACTGTCACAAAATATACATCTACAAAGTGAGCAGAACTAAAAGGAACCAGAGCTCCTTGGAGAAGTGGCTGATTCTACAGCTGGAGCAGAGAAAGCAGAAGGGCCGGGAGCATCTTGTAGTGCCAGAAAGTGAGGAAGTGATGAAACAACAACAGGATGAGGGCAGGTCAAAGGGACACAGGGCACTGAGGAGCACCTGCCCCATGGCCCAAGGTGGACCAATCTGAACAACAAAGTAAATAACCTAGTATTAGACTGTAACTCAAAGTATAAAATAAACAAACATGAGTCCACACAGATAAAAGAACATAACTCAATAAATGCGAATGTAAACAGGACAAAAGAGACCTGTTTTCCTTACAGAAAAATTCCAACAGGATACACAGACACAGCCCTCTTCAAGAAGAAAGGTTATTCCTTTCCTCCCAGGATAAACCAGATTTGATAACTTCCTTCCAAAGAATAAAGTAAGAAAGGGCAGAATAATAACTGTACAGTGGAGGAAGCTGGCAAACACTACCATAACCATGTGATAACGTTTAATATCACCAGTGACACTTCATGTTGGTACCATGATGTGACAAGAAGGGCACCTGATCTCTACAGTACTCTTCCAAATCCTAAAAGCCCAGTCTAATCCTGAGAAAAACATCAGACAAATTCAAATGGAGAAGCATTCTACAGAACACCTGACCTTGACCAAGACTGCAGAAGTCACCAAAACCAGGGAAAGCCTGAGAAACTAGAACAACAGACCAAAGGAGATTAGGGAGACATAACAGCTAAATGCAATACGGTACCTCGCTGTGTGACTCACTGGTAAGCACCCTGTTTTGTCTTTCCAGAAGCCTGTAGCTTTGTCAAAGGCACGTGATTAAGCATCTCTCAGCAGGTAAAAAGAGGACATTAATGGGAAAACCGGTGACGTTCAAATAAAGTCTGGAGTTCAGTTAATAGTAATACACCAACGTTAGTTTCTTGTTTGTGACAAACGTACCACAATAATGTAAGATTTTAATAACATAAGAGATGGGGGAAGCGGGTGAGGGGTCATGGGCAACTCTGTACTATCTTCGCAACTTTTCTATAAACAAAAAGTTATCAGGACAATGAGGGGGGAGAGCGAGGGAGAGGATGTGAACCGAGGTGTGTTCAATGCCAATGTCACACAAGACTAGTAAATTACACAGTGAAAAGAGCCCCAGACCTGGAGAGTGAAGGCCATTTTCTGCCACTTGATATCAGTGTTATTTCGAGAGGGTCGCAAACTGAGTCTTAGTTTCCTCATTTATAATACAGTAAAAATATCTACCTTCCCTCCTCATGGAGTGCTGTGAAATTTAAAAACATATATAAACTATAAACCATAAAGCCCTATATACACATGGCAAAAGGAAAACTGTGAACATAAGACTGTACACAGACCTACATCGCATACAGACGTGGCTATGATTTATTTTCTTAATCAGGAGAGCAGAAAACTGCCGTGTGTTACCATAGCTTACACTCCCATGAAAACCGTTCACTGAAGAAGGGTTTTTCCTCCCATTAAACTGATGGAAGGAAAGAATCTGGATTTCAGGAAGTTCTTCTAAGCTTATTAAAAAGCTTACTGAAACAAGACCTCTATTGTATATTTAATTAGCTGCCCATAAAGTCAACCCTCAAGTCGCTCTTGATTCATCATCCAACTCTAAATTCCAGCCACATTTTATGAAAGGTGATCACAATTAATCTGGTCCTCAAAGTCGATATAGGAAGTAACTGACTGATTTTCGATAAACCTTTTCAGACTAAAATTCCTCCAATGAAAACTGGCACATGTAACAACACATGTAGAGGAGAGTGGCAAGAAAGAAAATAAACCCCCATTTCTTCTCTCCGAGCCCTAGAAAATTTATTTAATCCTTAAACCATCCTGTGAGGAGGCAGGGAGTATGTCTAGAACCAGGGTTAGAGCATTCGACACTTCTGACCGCTGACGTGCCTTTCCCCGGCCCTGAGAAACAACCCACCGCCCACCGTGCTCTCGCGGGCCTGGCTCCTGGCGGCCTTCCCACCGCAGGGCCAGGCTCGGTGTTGCAAGGCCCAGGGGCCTTGTGACTGCAGCCAGAGCTGGAGACCAGGAGGTAAGGTATCAGGATTCGTGAATTGTCTCTGCCACTGACTAGCAATTTAACTCACAGCAAATCGCTTTTCCTCCTGAGGCCCTTTCTCTTTTTTATAAAAATAAGTGGCTTGGATTAGAGAGTCAGTGAAGTCCCTTTCCAAGCTTAAACTCCTGATTTCAGTGTAATTCACTACCTAAAGTTATTTTACTTTGTATTCATCACAAAGATCAGGCCCAATGACTATGAAAATTACCAGACTGAAAACCACCAGATGACGACCCCAGAGTCCAATTTCTCGTTACTCAAGTAAGTTTTCAAAAACCCCAAACCAGTCAGAAGCAGTTTAGAAAAAAAATCCCAAATTACCTCAGGAAACAAAGCTTAATTTCTCCTCAGAGATCACTACTTGCAGAAAAGGCTCTTAGGGATCAACTTTGGCCAATTAATGGATCTTGTAGAAAAGCAGATTGTCTGAAGTACAAAATAAGAACCCTGTTTTTGGCCCTTACAAATAATAGAGCACCTATCCACAAACCAAAAGAACTAGAAGTTAGGTGACCGTCTGACACAAATCTGAAGCGGAGCTCCCTGGCTAGGTCTGCGTTCAGGAAACACACACTTCTGCTGAAGAAGTGGGTAGGAGTGGGAATCCACAGCCTGGATTCACTGTCACCTTGGTCAACATCCTCCAAATTCTTCCCTAATATTTTTATTCTCTTCTGATTCAGAAAATTTTATTGCAACTCTAGTTGTTGTAAACTTTTTCCAACGCAAACTTGCAAACCTGAATCAACATTTGTTAAGAGAAAAGGCTAACAAAAAAATTAGCCACAATAATATCCAAGTAAAATTTATCTAAAGATTACTTTCAGGAAAAGGCCTGGTGTGGAACGCTTAAAACGATGCCTAACGCATCATCACAGATTACAAATATCTGAATTGAATCAATTAAGTGAATTTAAAACGAAGAATGCTTTAATTTTCTACACTTGCTCTCTCTTTTACAGGGATTAGAATAGTTTAGCATCCTTTAAGCAAAAAAAAGTCTGTCATGTCGAATCTAGCCTTTTGGGAAAGCCACTGTATAGAAGCACACCCTCCCCGTCAATGCATGGCACTGCGCATGAGCACTACACTGTGGTGGCGCCAAGCAAAGGACACGTACGTACTCTTCTGCTAGCCCTCAAAGCCATGACCGCACACATCACAAACAAAAGCTGCCTTGTTCTACCATGGGAAAAATGTTGATCTTGGAGATTTACCTGTTTAAGACAACTGCTGTGTATCTTCTTTCCACGAAAATAATTCCACATAAAATATTGGTAAATGGAGAAGGAAAATTTGTCTCTGGTTTCTCCTTTTCTTCAATTTCTTCATCCTCATCATCATCCTCAGAATCACTCCAAGACACATAATTATCCTGATTCCTATTATTGTACCACTCCACGCTTTCAAACTGTTGTCGCTCATATGGTTTATATTTGCGTAGGATTTCAAGCAGTTTTATTACTTTAGGAGTTACAAATTTCAGGTCAAGTGAGGCAGGTGAGAAGTGCTCTTCACATAGTGCATGTATTTTCCGTAGGAAAGTGTCTGTAAACAAAAGGAATTTCCTGTGCAGCTCCTCCTGTTCGTGCTTGATGTACTTCTGCAGTTCTCTTACCATCATTCCAGCGACTTTATCTGCACACCAGGGTCCCAGAACTACCAACACCGCACGACAGTCCGACAGTATCTACAGACAAATAACAGAGCCGAATGCTAAACAACAACCAGGTAGCATTTTCCTATGCGGTTTAACTGGGGTTTACAGCGTCTTCAGTCTGCTCCTCCAAAATAAATTTACCCAACTAATATAAACACTGGGGTTAATGCCCCAGGTTTGGAGGAGTGGCCAGTGGTTTTCTCAAGCTCACTTTTTCGTGTGTGTGTGTGTGTGTCCGAAACAAACTATCCTTTCATTTTCCCCAGCAAAAATTATCAAATAATACAAATAAAAGATACAATTATATAAAGTTAATATGACTGAATTTTAGACGTGTGGTTAGTCAGAAGTACAATGAGTCATTTACTCCCAGGTAACTATGCAAGGAATTATATGGCAGAGTCATTTTATTTTAGGTATCAAAGAGCAAGACAATTTTCCTTTAACGTTTTTATGCCCAGAGAGCCACACCTTACAACCCTAGCTCAGAGCAGAATGTGAATCCACAGAGAGGCTATAACTAAGGAATCCTCTATAGGCAAGTTATAGATAGAGCTGAACATGGACTTATTGAAAATTCAAGGGCTCAGAAAAGCCTGGGCATTGCTGCTTCAGAAAAAATCAGCAGGAGAGAAATGAAGATGCAGTTTCAGTGCTAATATTAACAGATGGTCACAAAGTCCTAGGATAATGGTTTTCAAGCTTTAATGCATCAGGATAACTGGAGGGCTCGTCAAATTTCTCGGTTGGACCCCACTCCGCTGGGTCAAGGGTGAGACACATAACCTGCATGTCAGCAGCTTCCAGGGGATGCTGGTCTGGGATCCACATGTGTGAGAACCACTACCCTAAGGATCTCTTCCCCAAGCCGGATCCCACTCAGGAATGACAGGCTCACGTCCACTTACACACAAGGAAATAGCACAATTCGGTTAGCACAAGAGTTTAAGCAGGAACTAACCGATTCTGACCAAGAAATTAAAAAATTGGACTCACTCCTTTTATTTAAATAACCATAACATGAATCCTCATCTCTTACATCAGGGAGGTCTATACTTAACAGAAATGTCTGTCAGGTAACAGTAAATTTCACCCAATCTATGTTCAATGAAAAATGTCCAAAGAGACAAGAAGGCCCTAAACTACAATGTGTAGAAAACAGCCTTGCTAGGAGCATATTTTCATTTCGATACTAAAAATAAACAGAAGCCTTTTATTATACTTCCTTTACTTACTTTGTATATGCTTACCTGTTTAGAAATTAAAGTAGAATCTCTTTCTTTTGAATGAACAGAAATGTTACAGTCACTGACAAAATTAAGTGCTTCTTCTAATTCCATCAGCAGTCTTTCATAAAGCCCACTTCTGTCCATAAACGGTCCACAGTCTACCACGATCTCACAAGGCTGAGAAGTGTATCTTAAACATCGGAAACAAAAGTTGTTGATACGCAATCAATTCACTACAGCAAATGATCCATTACGTGTCTAAACCAAAACAGAAACGGCCCACGTTCAGTCTGTCCGCCTACGTGGGATGACAGGCGGGCTCGCAACGAGCCTGAGCGGCATCCCCTCGTGCTGACGCTGTGAGTGCCCGTGAGGGCTCAAGGGATGAACGACTGAGGAGGATGACGGTCAACGCACTTGGTGAATTTTCTGATGTCATTATTATCCCAGGCTGCTTATTTTGTGTTTTAGGTTTAGACTTTCATCTTGTGCCCCTCAGGAACAATGTTGGTCAAAATACTCAAGAAACTCAATAATGATCACTTCTCTGAAGCAGAAATCAGGGATTTGTAAGTCATGGGGCAAAGTGTTATTATTTATCCATTTCCATACTATTTGAGACTTTTAGCATTTGCAAATGTCAATTGTTTTTAATGTGTTTTTAACGTATCCTCCTAAGGAAAGCTCCTCCAAACTTTGAATTAATTACATATCATTCCTTGGATCTTTCGCGCCTTTCATAAAGTATGACGAGAACAGCACATGATATTGTAAAAACACATATGATGATGAATTAAGGAAAATACAGTAAGATATACTGAAATACTATAGTTTTCATTATTCTCAACCAGGATCTATACTTAACCAGAGTCACACTGGGAGAACTAGGCAATGTCAAATTCAACAGATTACTCATCAGCTTTACTTAAATGCTCTGATACCCTGTTTCTCCTGAAGACGGCAGCACTCCAGGCCTGCCAATCTAACTCAGGTCAGATAAAAGCTGACGGATGGCCTCTTACTGCGACATTGCAGATGCTTTGGCTCAGGGAAGTCAGAAACAGCATATCCAAACGGTCACGATGTCTGTATTTCCTAGGGCATTTGGATACCTAAGTTCCACAAACCTGAAACATTAGCTTTTCCTCTCATTCTACCAAGACAACTTTTCCCAAATTCTACTAAATGACAGGCACACTACAAGGTGTTTTCCATGTGTCAATGTAACTAACCATCAAAAAAGCCCCTGAAACCACTGTCAGTGCCATTTTACAGGTTTGCGGACAGTACATGACTCACTTTAAGTCACACAGCTTATAATTAACAGAGCCAGTACTCAAACTCATGTTTGATTTAACTCCCTAACTTGAGATATCAGTTTTCTCTGTTTATGATGTTTCAAGAACCACCACTTGGTATTCTGTAGCCTTATTTAAGACTACATCTAACAAGGATATAAAGGCATTTTATTATAAATTAAATTAGTTATATTTATTTAAAAATCTAATTTATACGGGCTTCCTTCCACCAACTTAAATCAAAAAAGGTGTGTGTATGGGTATTTTAATGAAACTCAAAACAGCAACCGCCTCAAAAAGAGACAAATCTAGAAATCATAAATATCTTTCTTAGACATTCATGCCCATTTTTAAAACTACAGGGTGTTTTTAATTATATAAAAGCGTATTGTAAAATACTGAATTCTCTAAACGTTCTTTCAAACTATCATGTAGGACACATTTAGGTCAGAATAAAACACACACATTGACAGAAAAGAACACAAATTTACTGTCCAAGCTCCCAGTCCTTGTCAAAATCAGCAAATATGAAAGGCCAACGTTTATGCAATCTTCTCTCTTAAGGCAGAAACACCCCCATCTACCACTCTCTGTGGAAACAGTCAGACCCTCGCATTCACAGGCAACTGCCTTGCAAAAGAACTGTCGGTCTAGCGAATTCCCTTTAACCACCATTTAAAATTAGTTACAGCCAATCTCATTAAAGCCAAGTCATCTCAGTGCATACCTGTCTAAGACCACCAAGTCAGTTGCAGTTTCAGCGTTACTCTTGAGAATTTTCTCCAGTTTCTGAATCTTTTCTTCCAATTCCTCTGGATCACACTTCCCATTTAAAATGGAAGCAGTTAGTCCCAAAATACGAGGGCATGACGGACAATTTTCACAGAGCTAACATAACAACAAAAGATACTGACAGTAAGAAATTCGATTTGCAAGGCCCTAACGAAAGACATCACCATATTAAAACATGTCAAAAAGACTGACGAATACTAAAACTATTACTTATGAAATTATTGTAGCTTGTTTAAAAGATCTATTGATCAAAAAGGCATATTTAAATATGCTAAGGCAGGTTACGTAATTCATTTATTTATATTATGTTTAAAATTTTATTACAAGTTTAGATTTGTAATGACAGATTATTATAGTTTATTATTATAGATGTAAATAAACATTAATTTCATATTCATTCATTAAATAAGTTTTAATGTACTAATTAAAACTGGAACCAAGTTCTCCAAACTGGTAACTAAAATGATTGTTTCTGATATATAAAAACACTACTTATATACTCAGTAATTCAGCCTGTGTTATTAAGCCTGGTAAAATCTAAAAACTTACCTTCATAATTTCTCGGTAGGGGTGGTCTAGGATTGCAAGATGACACTCATCAAACACCAAAAGGTTAATGTCTGACAGTGATAAGTAACCATTTTTCAAAACATTCAAGGCGACATAGCAAGTCATAACGAGAACCTATAATAAAATCAACATCAGTATACAAACGTGCCATTTACCTGCCCGACACACTTATATGAAATGAGATTACTAAGCCACTGTATTGTAGGTGAGGACTGAGAAATCCATTAACCAAAATTAAAACAAAAATTCTAACTGTGTGGTAGCTCACAGTTTGGAACCAAGAAGTAGAACTAGAAAAACATGAAAAAGACTAAGAGAAAAAATTTTCAATAATGGAGACCGTGTATTTATGATAAATCTATTAAATTTACTTCAGGTTTCCAGGCTCCTACAGTCATATTTTGACTGATGACACGTGTCAATTTAAGCAAATCACAGAACAATTCACACTGCTTTTCTCTTTTTTCTTTTGAACTGACAAGATTTTCTGGAAGATGATGCACGCTAAATGTTCTTTTTACACCTTATCATTCTGTGAACATTTAAGTGCTTTTTCAAGGAGGACTTAACCCAGTATGTGAGACATTCTAGGAGACAACAGACTGCTCAGGGGCAGCTGGGAAGCGTCTCTTCACCACTTCACATCCGCCAACGCCAGCACACAGGGGCCCTCAACGCATGCTGGCGACGCGGAAATGTTAAGGGGGAGGAAGTCGCCCCCAAAGATCTCAACCTAGAAATGTCTCCAAGACACTTAACTCAAGAGTAAATTTTCTGAAAGGCAGTGGTCATCTATAAGTTGGAAATACGTAATAGGAATTTGTGCTTTTCAAGCGAGTAAAGCCTGCTTGATAAAGCTGTTTCTTTTCTATGAAGTGAGAGCAACACAAATTAGCAATTTATGTAGTTTTAGGATGAGACTCACAGTGAGAAAAAGTGCCTAAGGGCTAGTTTTAGGCTGCCAACGTACAGGAAAGTAGTTTTCAAGCCTAACTCAGACAACCAAGGCTACAGGTCATCTCACAAACCGAGTCAAGGACTTGTAGGGATTTACAGAGTCAAATTTCTCTACAAGTCTTACCTGGTGCTTAGCAAACTCTTGGCTCCATTTCTCTTTTGTCCAAGATGCATTTACTTCTAGGTTTGAGTATTCCCCAACCTTGAGATCTGAATGAGTTCTGACAGCTGACACTTGTTGAGCAACCTGGTTTGCTGATTACAAATATAAACTCCATGTAAATATGAGGGATCTTACCTAGTTGGCTCTTGGGACTACTAGCAATTAAGACAGTTATGGAAATCCTTACTTTTAACTATTATACCTAACCACCTATTTTTTAGATAGTCCACTTAAAATCACATTTCCAAGGTTACATCTTCCAAAATGTACGTATGAGACTCACCACCCTCATTCACTTCAGAGAACCTTATATCACCTTCCTTCTTTAGAGCTGATTTTCCCCAACCTAAGAATATAACTTCTGGGCTGGAATGGTAACTACTCCAGATCCAGCCCTCCTGTTTTCTTCAATAAAATCAGATCGTTTCAGCAAGAAACAAGACAGTCTAATGGGTACTGAAAGCACATGAGAGCATCGCATGCTGAGACGATCTAAAGAAAAGGAGAGGAGTGACATGGTTATATCCGTAACCGTGCAGCTCGGGTTCACATTTCCCGCTTTTTATTTTTAATATAAAATCCCACGCACACACCAAAAAAAACACAGTATTTTAAACATACTGAATATCTATTAAGAAGCACCTAACTTTCTTTCTACAACTAGCGTAATCATAAATTAAAGTTGCATGTCTCATAATCAAGCACGTTTTGACATATTTTGTAAAGCTAAACATCGAAAACAAAAATAACGGCAGCAACTTAGATTATGTTCCGAAAGTAATCCGTTCAAAGGGAATGCAGAATCGGAATTAAACACAATCACATTTAGGAGAAAACTGAAGTTTAACGCCTGTGAGATAAAATGGCGAACATTTAAGAGAAATCTAATAAAGAAACAAGACAAGATTCCTATTTCTATCAGAGTTTCGACAAGAACATTATTCGTCAAACTCTCTACGCTTTCGATAATGTAACCTAATGCCCAAAGAGAAAATCTGCTTAACCATAAAATCTCATCCCGTTTCCTCCACACAATCCGATAAAATAATTTTGTATTACCAGAGTTGACCAAGAACACCGTCCTTTTCCCGAGTCTGCTGACGTCGCCCCTGATCTGATAGGACAGCTCTTTAGTGAGTAGCACTGCGATAAACGTCTTCCCTGAGCCAGTGTTCAGACAGACTATGGTATTATGGTCCAGAGCTGCTTCGAGCAGTTCAACCTGGAAATACAGTAGAAAGGGCGATTACACACTTCTCAGCTGAGTACAAAAGTTAGAATTCTGTTCTGCAGGAAATTCATTTCACTCTTTTCTAAAATCTTCCAATAAATTTGCCAAAAAATTTACTTGCTACATCTTCATATGATAATCAGAGGCATTAAAAGTCCTGTTTTCATGTAGCTGTGCTGTGGACCCATATGTCGAAACGCATCTACCATTTCTTTAAGAATGTTTTTTGCACGGACAGAATACTTCTTTAGAATACACGAATGACTAAATTTCTAATACCCGTGGTTCTGCCAGTTCACAGTGTTCCAACAGATCTCAATTCCGACCCAGCTCATGAGGACAGACACATCCAAATGGGGACTAAGGAACAGTGAGGTTTCCAGAGGGGAAAAATAAGGAACTTCACAAATAAGACTATCAAACCAATTACCCAGCAGATGTTAGCAGAGAAAAGGACTATTAACAACAAAGGTATTGGAATGAGACAGTTAATCAGAGAGGAAAGCTTGAAAAGGTAAATGAGTTTTATAAGTTGTGTCAACTATATGCTAATTTATTCCATTTTAGTAAAAATGCTCCAGTATTAGTGTTCTCATTAGTACCTGATATTTTCTTGGCGTATAAATGTTATCATGAATTGCTTCTTGTTGCCATGGCAGTCCAAAGAAAGGACCCATTGGTGAGGAAGCAGGGGTCATGAGCTGCAGGCCTGCCATGCTGAGGGGTTGCAAAGCAGGGCTTTTCATTCATCCAGTGTTTCTTTCATTGCATTTTTGTTCTAGCACAGCTTACTACAAAAGGGAAAAAGAAAACCATTACACAACCATGCAGGGTTAAAAACAAAAGCAAGCACAGAAACAAGAGAAACATCAGAACATCATTCAAACTCTTTCTAGAACTGTTTTAGCTTTTTCTTGATCTAAGGGGATTGTTTTAAAAGTCAAGCACTCTATACTCTCCAACTCGGCAACCCTAGACCCAGAAACCTGTCTAAAAGAATCGGACAACTGAACAAAGATGTAAGTACAAGAATAAGAAATAATAAATGTCTTAATAAAAAGTTAGCTAAGTAAATTACAGTATGGCTATATAATAGAATACTCTGAATCCATTAAGATAATATACATCTATATTTACTGACACAGAACCATGTCCATAATATATCTTTAAAAGAAAATATGTATAGCATGGTGCCTTTCAAAATATACGTATATATAAAATGTAAACATATATATTTCAAATATTATTTGTAAAATCTATGTTATTGATAAAATGAGACAATGTGCAGAAGGCACTGAGCATTGCGCCTGCACACAGGAAAGGTTCAAATGCCTGCCATCATTTATCGAAAGACCAAAAACACAGGTCTTTTTTTTCAATTAACAACCGAGTAGAGATGATCAACTATTTAAGTATATATCTTTCAAATTATACATATCCTAGATAAATGAAAACGAAGCACGCCATTCTGTGATAGCTTTTCATGGTATCTAAACACTCTTCTGTATTTCATGTATTCTTTCCCAAAGATAAATGTCATCATGTAAAACGACAATACTGGGTCTTTCTAAAATTCCTCAACTGCAGGAAGAGGGTTAAGGTTTTAAGTCTCTATGTGAAAGCCCATGACCGACTCTCCTGACTGTGCAGAATTTACACGCCCCACAGAACGGCCTTTTCTCCCTTGTACTGCTGCGGAGTGTTCACTGTTGTTACTCTACGAAACTGAAAAGAAAGAATACTGCTCTTTGTTCCTTGACGACAAAAATCTCTGAATCTCCTGACACGTGAAATTTATAACCATGGTACAACAGAGTGACTTAAGCTGTTGCATCTAATCCAACCAGAAGTCTCAAGTGTAGTCCTCTTTTCTGCATAGACACGATACCAAATTCTGATTTCGGAGATTCATTCGGCTGACCAGAATTCACCATCCAACTAATGTACGTGCAATCTCAAGTAAGTGGTACCAGGGCAAATGGCTGCAGGAGCCCAGGACCTCAGGGAGGCAGGCACATCTGGGGACCAGACCGTACAGCCATTCTCATCACGCTTCTCAGAGGAAGATGGCGAGCAAAGTCTTCCGGAGTACATTACGAAAAACTACCAAGTCATTATTTTCCCTGGATCAAAGAGACAATCTGCTGGTTCCCCAGTGAACCGCAGCCCCAACAGCCGTTCCTTTCACCCCACACTAAGGATTCACTTTTCTCAGTTCTGCAGACCCACAGGATGCACACACACGCTCAGGTTCACTGCTAAAGCTTTTTACTCAACACAGTTGCCAGGAACTCAAAATGAAAACCTGTTTTATCCGATTTCCTGAGATCCAACAAGTCACTCTAAAGGCCCAAGGCTGAGATCCATAGGCACGTTCCAAATGGCTACCATTCACGGGATCAGGATCCCTCCGTACTTCTCCTTCCTTACCCCAGGCTGCTTCCTGTCCAGGATTATTTATCCCTAACCCTGACCCTGACCCCTCACTTTTCACCCAACCCAAATGCTAATCCAAGACCAACCGCAGATACAGCAGAAGGTAATGGGAAATCCTTCTAAATCCTGGTGGCGGATGGGGAAAAATGAGAAGAAAGCAACAGCCTAAATCCCCAAATACACTTCCCTCCACCTCCAGAGACCGGGAACAGCCAGGAAGCAGGAACACCTTCCTTCTCCCTACCACCACGTCACCACTTCTCATATAGATGACATTAGTAATATTCATAACTCCGGAAAAAAACCGTCTAACAAATGAGAAGAATGTTCTATTTTCTAAAAGAGAGGACTGCATTCTTCAAAAATATATCATAAAATACAAAGAAAAACGATGGCAATGTTCCAGATTAAAGAATACTATAAAGAGACATGACAACTAAATGCAGAAAGTCATCTCAGACTGGGTGCTATAGTACAGAACAATGCCACAAAGGACATTATGAAGACCACTGATAAAACTGTAGAAAACAGCACTGTTAAATTCACTGACGTTGGTAACTGCAGTATGGCTACAGGCTACGTAAGAGAATATCCTTGTTCTCAGGAAACATACACTAAAGTACTCAGTGGTAGAGGGCCATGATGTACACAACTTATTCTCAAATGGTTCAGAAAAAGAAACCACATGTAGTTATACAGAGAGTGTGTGCAAGCGATAAAGCAAATGGGGCGAAAATGGGTAAAGCACGAATTCTTTGTCCTGTTCTTATTCTTGCAACTTTTCTATAAGGTTGAAATTATTTCCAAACGGTTTTAAAAAGTAAATAAATACGACCAACGAGACTAGGAGTTCCTTTAGTATCGGAGCTGTATGTCTCCCACATATCTGTGTCACCCACTGAACCAAACCACACCCAGGACATGGCAAACATACAATGCAGAGTTGTAGAATGCAAACGATGCTCACGTGAGTGACATAAAAATCTTCAAACGGCCTCTGCTTTTCATAATTTATATCATATTGCATACATTCACAAAGGGATACATACACACACCAAGAACAAGATATTTCTCTTATCTGCTGCAGCTCTTAAATTTCTGGTACAATGTACCATATGTGCGGTTAAATAAATATCTGATGAACTGAATCAGAGATTCATGAATGTCCACACAATAACGTACAGAACAGAATCATAGGCCGTTCAAAAGATATTTCTATTTGGTTTGGAAATCCACACCCACCCCCCTCCGACGTGCCTTTAAAGGGGGTGCAGGAGAGAGGATCTGCAAGGAAATGAGGACAGCAATTTACCTCTCCCAATTTTATTTTCCATAAGGTCATAATGTTTAAATAAATTTTCATTCATTTAGTATACAGTGGCTAGCTAGGCCCGGTAATACACTTCCCATTTAGGGAAAGCAAATCCAAGATTTAAAAATTCAACAAGTAATCTAATAATGTGAAAACAGAAAAACCTGTAATTTTGCAAATTTTTACTCTCTCTCACATGTTGAAATAGATTTTTTCCCCTTAACTTGGCCTTAATGACAAGCACTGAATCCCTGCTGGCACGTAAACGTTCTAGCTTCACAGATGAACTGACTGTAGTTAACTGCTTTAGCGGCGCCAACAGTAACCACGTGACTGTTTTTCAATCATAGATTTTAAATTTCTGGCCAATTTACACTCATCAAATTGGTGAAGTTGTTTCATATCTTCTATATATCATTCACTTAGAAATAACTTAGTAAAAGACAGGAATAAATTATTTTCCTATTTCCACACAGGATAAATCACTGATTTACCGTTTTAATGTTTGAGATCTCTGTGTTGCTGTTGTCTGAACTGCATTTTGACATTGTGATAGCAGTTTATTGGAAAATCACAGCATGCCCAAGCTTCTGCTCTAAAAATAAATGCAAAAATAGCCAATTTTAAGATTTCTTTAAACTGAATATAAACACACTTATAAGAGTCCTACTGATATGAAGAGATTAAAAAAAAAAAAAAGACCTTTATTTTTGTATGAAATTTTAAACAAAAGACATTTGGGTTATTTTAGGATCCTTAGTGTTATTCTAAAACAAGGAACAAGAGAATGAACTACAGCAATAGCATGCCTAACTCCCAGAGATCTGGGGAAAGAAAGAGAAAAGTTCAGAAAAGACTTCAAGATAAATACAAGGAAATGAAACAAAGCAAATAAATCCTAAAGATAGTGACTATAATGAAAAAATATAAAAATAAAAGGATAAGTATGTGTTATTTCCTAAATTCACATATACAAAGAAATAACGGAGGTCACCAGAAAAGGAAACTTGGCTGACAACTCCAAATCACCTGTAATAAGTCAATACGTGTATAAAATGTATGAACAATTCCAATTTGTCAAAATGAAATTAAAAAACAAAAACTCAAAGAACAGTTAAAGCCACACCATAAATTCTTATAGAATTCATTTACGAATAAAAGAATTCAGGAACACAGTTCGACAATGTTACTATTATGGGAAATTTTTAATTCAGGGGTGGTTCTAGAAGAGATTATAAATCAGAAACTAAGGAAGCATAAAAAGTAATGAGCTGAAAAGCTTAATTTAATCAACAAACGTTTGATTTCTGTTAGATGTGACATCAGTTTCATTTACGCTCATTGACTTACTGCAATGCCTGGACTAGCACAAGCTCGGGAAGGGCAGACTGACAGTGGTCTCTCTTCACTTATCTAAGTCCAATCTAGTTGTTTAAAGGACATTTCTGTGGAGGTTAAACTTTCTCACTGCATACACAAATCTGTTTTGTCAGTAAGTTAAAGCAAAACGGGGAACCTTAACGCTATTTAAGTATGTCCATATTTACCTCAAAATGCTGATTCTAAGTTCTTTCAGTTCCCAAGTCTGTATTAATTCATACCCTAGGTAACCTAAAAGCAACAGAGAGAATATTTTAGAACATATAACTCATTTTTAAAAACCAACTTTAAGAAATTTCCTACTTAACAAAATTTTCATATTTACTTATCGGAATAAGGTCTCTGATAAAATAATTTATTTTGGGGAAGTCAAGAAAGCAGGATGTGTTTGAAAGAGTTGCCCTTTGAAATTTGCATTTATTATGTTCTAATACAATTGAAAAAAATTTAAATTGTTAGTACAATCAAATAGACATAAGGGAGAATTCTTGGCAGTAAATCACATTTCCCCTCAGTAAAATCTGGCTTTAAAAATACGTGAACATTATGTTAAGTCAGCATCATGCTTTACATGAGTGTATAAGTATCTCCCTATCTCCCAGTCTGTCAGTTTGTGTTTTCTAAGGCTACCCCAGTTTTCCATTCTATATTGCCACCTAGTAAGATGCAAATTCAATACACGAACATCATACTTTACATATTTTCTAATTCATATTCGCCTCTTTTCTAGAAGCACCATAACCAAAATAAGCTGATAATCCTTTAAAATTCATTTCAACTCCACTCAAAATTATTGCTCTTATCTAAATTATTTCCCTAAGATAATTCTGTATAGATACATTAGAAAGTTAATATGCCAAGTACAATGACAACTCATTTTACGTTCACGATACAAAGCCAACAGGTCACATTTGCTAGTTTAAATTGATGACCATGACTTAAAATTCCAAATGTGCAAACTCCTGTTTCATAGGCCCTTTTAAGATAACTCTGAACAAGACACACTACATACCAGACACTATGTCAAGTGTTAGTATAAACCAACAGACTTAATCCGCATTAGCATCTCGGCCAGCCTTTCACACAAAGGTTTGTGTAACGACAGACTTAGCTTAACTCTTCTGAAGTCCAAAGGCATCTAGAGCTTCCTGGTGCACGTTTTCAAAACTGGTAACAGAAAACTTCCAACTCATTCATTTTATCGTAATGTATCTCAAATTCTGACACTATTTCTACAAATACTACTGTCCTGATTCCATTTCTACTCGTGTGAAACCACAACCACCGTAAAGTCCCATAGTGAATTAAAAAAAAGAAAAAAACATGAACTGTGTGACATTAAAACGGGGCCAAAGTACTTCTGTGAGCTAACATATAAAACTAAAAAATGTCTGAAGAGCTTTTAGCTCATCGTAATTGACAAGAAAAAGAATTGAGATGTTCTAAACTAAAATGACGGTGGCTAAAGAGCGAAAGACACAGGAAGAAAAGTTAGCGTGCTAATAGCTGTGAGCCGGCTGACAAAAGACAGCTCGCACTCCTCAGTGGATGCTGGAATTTCGGATTAATTTCCACTTGGCTACTTCCCCGATTATTCTAAAGAGAGAAAACAGCCAGGCTCCTTTGAACCCCAGGAGCCTCCGCTTCTTACTTACTCATGAACTTCCCTGACTGGCCCGCAACCCGCAACCCGCCCTCGGAAGCAAACACTTCCCTCCGGGCTCTGCTCTCCCAGGAGCAGCCGGTTCACCTTCTCTCACCCGCTCCGCCTACGGCTAATGCAAACGCCTTCAGAGCGGCTGCATCTTTCTCCCCCAAGCGATGTGTGCAAATCCCTGTAAAACCCCAGGACCACGCTGTCCTGGACAAAGACACACTGTCCTTTCGGCCTGGCCCTGCCGCTGGTGCCTTAAACTCCATGCCGCAAGACCCGTCTTCTTTTTTGCTAGCAATGGCCTAACAAACCCTTTCTTTTAAAAAGACTTTCAGCCATGGAAGTTAAAATTTTTTGTTTAACATAAACGTATGCTATGGCATCCAAGGCATTACTTAAACTCCGCCTGAGCCTAAATAGCTAAAGGCACCCTTGGCTCTGAATATAAAGTAACAAGCTTTATTTGGTTTATATGGTTGTTGGTATAAGGGTAAGTTAAAAATAAAAGGCTCAACTCTGCCAGCTGAAAATAAATGGAAGAGCCTCCTTCCCCACTCCTTACAGAATTCCTTCTCAGCCCTTTTCGGATGGATGTGCATCTTTTTAAAAGCTACAGAAACCTCCTGCATCTCCCTTCTCAGGAATATTTCCCTAAGGACCCGAGCGCCATCTCTGAAATGTAATGAGAAAGATTATGTCCAATTTGCATGTTTCCTAGGAAGAGATGGGCCTACTTTGTCACTAGATTCCAAATTGCAAAACCTATCTCTAATCATAAAGGTATAAGAAAATTAGCAATTTTATCTGGAAAACAGGGATGTAATGGGTTGTAACCACTTAGCTACAGAAAGATGTCTTCCTGTCTTTGCGGACTCTTCAGTGGCTAGCCTGTGATGCACAGCACGTGTGGGTTCAATGTTTTCTCAATGGTAAAACTGTTTTCTTTCCTTCTACCTTTGTGGAGAGTTTCTGGGTTGGGAGATTTTGTTTGTAATTATATTTCCTCAACATTGGCTTAAAAAACAGTCCAATTCTCAAGTACTAGTCATGCCAAATAACGAAATTCCTTTTTTTGGAACTTAAATACTAGAGAAACCCTAAACTATGCTGCCCAACTATACTGGGGAAAGGAGTTCTAAAATGAAGACGGAGCTAAGTGGGCGAACACTTAGCTACATTAACAAGAAATCTGCACATCGAAAGGATCCAAGTTCCTTTTCTAAATTGAAGTTAAAGGAGAAAGTCTCAACTGTTTCCAGGTAACTTCCTCAGTCAAGCTGAGGCTCGCACCTCTTAACACCTCCCACACAGTCACCCCGCTCACAGAGGCCCTCTGCTGCAGGAGGGGCACCGACCAAGGCCACTGGGGATGTGGAAAGCCAAGTCTTGTTTTTTAAATGGAAGTACCTCTCATTTAAAATCATCTGAATGCCAAAAGAGTCCAGGGTTTATCAGATTTACTACCTCTCTCTAAGGTGGTTTCCTTGCCAGTAAAACAGAACACCTGACGATGATGACGATTAAATACAATCACGTATACATGCCAGGCCTAGTGAAGAAAAGGCGCTTCTGCAACACAGAAAATGCTCGATAATGGTAGTTTTTAAAAAATAACTTTACCAACTCTATCTAGACCCATGTTTTCAAACAATTCTTAAGGCTGTAAGGAATTCCTTAAAGAAAGCCTGAAATGTTTTATTACCCTAAAATTCAGTAAGGAAAATGTATTCATATAAATTTAAAGTACACAAGATTTTATAAAGTATTTTAACCACTTAAACATGAAAACCCACAAACTCCAAACTGCCCAGTAACTACACATTTACAGTAGGATAAAAACCGTAAATTACAAAACATGGTACATAATGTGTAATATAACTAAATACTTTGTGTCCACTAGTTCTCTTTAAAAGCGAAAATCAAAAAATATTATATGCTATTTGGTTCCACAGACATCAGTGTAAACATTAATTCACTTAACTGTTTCTTAGGCACTGAAACAGTCCACAGATGGGCAATAAATCATCATCATCACCAAATGGACAAATTTTGAAAATTTAAAATTTAAAAAAAGATAAGAAATACCCAAAATTTCTACAGTATATAAAATAAACACTTCAGAGGTTTATCAACTCCTTCTTGGTGAATATAGATTATGAAAAGACTAAGGTCAAACCAAATACTGAGAGACCAGAGAAATGGGATAATAACTTCAAATTTAAATACTGGTATCTTTAGATAGTTAAATGTACAGTACAAGACAAACAGTTCCATTTTTTACTTGTCATACGTCATTATTATTTAGAAATCCCTGCATCTGAATCTAGCATACAACACACAAAAAAAACCACTTCGAACAGAAATGTTCCCTTCAACACTACCATTTACAATAGCGAAAGATGCCCCTCTTACACCCCCCTCTCCCCCACCCCCCCCCGCAAAATCTAAATGTCTAACAACGAATGAGGAAACGGTTGGTAAACCATAGTTCATTTTACATGATGCAATTCAAATGAGCCATTAAAAATGATGAGTTTATAACGAACAAAAATGCTTATGTTACGGCATTCAATGAAAACAGAACATTTTTATTGACAATAAGATGATTATGTCTGCAAGTTAAACACTAAAAAAAATGAGGGAGTGGAGGAATAGGAAGGGAGAGAAAATACACTCAAAAAGTGAGAATGGGGTTACTAGCACAAGTAATTTCTTTTTCCTTAAAACTTTTTTGCATTTTAAAATTCCCTACAATTTGAACACTTTATTTTTAGAACTGGAAGACAAATTTTCAAACTGAAAATTGTCTAAAAACAATAGTAGAGATATAATTCTGTTTTAGGTACTGAAGGAAAAAAAAACTTCTCCCTTCTTAAGCCATTAAATGTGGTAAATTTTACCCTAGTTTCTGTAACTTAAACCACAAATTCACTAGTTTCTTTTCCTGCACTGCTCTATGAACCAAGTGAATTTCTGGGTTTCTCTAAATCTGAAACATAAACATATTATGTTTACATTTCAATGTAATTATGCCTAAAATTAGATTTATCCAAAACTGAAGTTGAATGCAGGTCAAATACCATTTTAACAAATTCCACCCATCAAAATCTCCATAGAAAAATTATCTCTAGGCTGCCAGCCAATGGCCCACTTACTTGGAATATTTCTTAAAAAGACAACGTTCCAACTCATCAAATTGGACAGAGACCCACCCCTCCCCTTCAAGTTACCTATGACATTTACCCCTGCAGTTTCGTTTCAAGAAAGGTAAATACCTTAAAATGCCACTAGCTTTCAAGGTGAGTTTTAAAGTTAATGTTTGATTCCAAGTTTCTGTCCGTGACTCCAAAACACTGTTCAACAAGCACTAGAATTTTACTCAATTCATGACTACCTTCTATCTTTTACATCAAGGAAGACCACCCATGAGGAAAGGGAAGACACATTTTCTACGTCAAATGATTTTAATACAATATAACCTGGACATTTCATACTAAAGAGAGGTCAGTCCTGAGACAAAATGAGCCTAAGAGACTGCTGAGTGTGATGGAAGTTTAATCAATGTTGACTCAGGAAAGCAAACCTATTA